GGGTGAGGTACGGTCGATGGTGGGGAATGTGACGGAGGTGGAGGAAAGCGGTCTTGGTTGGGGACCGGATATAGAGGAATGATAGCTGTGGGTCAAACCTGGTGCCCAAATTCCGAAAAGGTTTAGTAAATCTTAGGGAAAAGCCAGGAAAGCTGAGGTGAGATCTGCAGTTAGTTTGTGTTGAGCGACATACTCTGAAAGCTGACAATTCATCCAAATAACTCCAGCTAATATTTGAAAGGAATCTAAAGTCCAGGAGGATCTTTTTTGTTCTAGGAAATAGAAGAATAAATGACAAATCTCTCCAGAGGTGGAGGTATTTTTACTTTAACATAGCACCCAAACTCTCCTCCACTAGCATCCGTTACATGAAGGATCCATAGCAATTGCATTACATTTAGCTGTGCCTCTTACTGGCGTTCAAATAGTTAAGCCAAATCCTTTGATTGCTAACAAAAGTTCAGTTAATGCTGGATGTTGCAGCATACTCATTGCTAATGTTCCTTCCAAGTTTGTGCAGATACACATTGAATCTCAGGGCAATCCAAAGGTACTGATGCCTCTCTTCACTCAAGAATAGTTTTGGGACAATGGCATTTTCTCCATGTCTGTCACATCAAAAGAAACGATTTAAGGATCCTAAGGATTTAAAGTTCCAAACAGTCTGCTTAAAAGATGCAATTTGGCACTATAGAAAGCATGATGGAATGGTTAAACAAGCTAGTTTTAAAGGGATGTAGTCCTAGGCCTGGCAGTTACATTCAGATCATTGGAGAAGAGTTTAAAATGTAGTTTCACAGCGCTTTGATAACTGGCTGAGTTTGTAAAACCACTGTATAAAGGGACACTAAGCCGTAGAAATGGGAAGTTCCAGGTTCAATTGCCAGTTTCTGCTAAGTTGGCTGATCTCAGACAGGAAGACAGCGGGAACGCAAATTTGACAAAGCATCCACAAGCTAGGAGGGAAAAATAAAATACGGTTCTTGTTTTTGATCAGTATCCAATGACCCGTGCTGCAGAAATGTAGATGTCAGGATTAACCTGCTACATCTGAAGAATTGCTAGTTAAGCAAGATCGAGAACAGGTTATACCCAAATCGAGTCTTCAAGATAGAACAGAAAATAAATCGAGAACAATTCCATGCAGAATCTCACCAAAGTCTTGTTGGTATAAACACTGTTGGTTAGGTACTAAGCACTAGAAAAAATTCCCCAATTCAAACCCTGCAATGTGTTGAGGTAGCTAATCGGAGCTGCAGGCAAGCGTAACAGGATTAAGGAGTGACAGGGCACTAAAGCTAGCCTCAGCAACTGCAAGCTTGGAGGAAAAATATTGAAGCTTCACTTGCCCCTTCCTTCCCCATCTTCAGATCGAGCCTGAAGACTTTCCTCCATCACCGGACCTATGGTCACTTCCCCCCTTCCTCGGCATCGTGCTCCATCACTGTCAAGCTCACTGGACGCTACCCTGCATAAAGGGTGCTATATAATTGCAAGTTGTTGTTAAAGCTTCACTCTCCAGTAACTATTCCTTTCTAACAGTGTAGTTACTGGGTAAAGAAAAGCTCTATGTGGATCTCTTTTTTGGGGGTGGGGAGGAGCGAAGAAAGGTAAGGTGGGTCCTCTTCACACTAAAACGGCTCAGAGATGTTCAGCAATGGAATATTGGAATCGCGTCAATAATCTGTGGTGGTCTCGTGAGCCCTATTCCCAGGCCATGCAAGTGAACAGTACTCCAGGGCACTGCTAATGACAGGCCAGCCATTCTGGCAGGTTGGCAGGACCTGGGAGGGGCAGACCTGTCATCGGGAGCTGGGTTTCCAGCAGTATTCAAACATACACTCATGGGTTCTCAAGCATTGGCTCTTGCTATCCTACTTCTAATACTTCCTGAGATTGGGGAAGGAAGGTGCACCCTCCAAAGTGAATCTAAATACTCCATTCTAGACAAAGGGAAATTTCCATGCATGCTGCAGTTTGGATACTCAAGCACGATGACAAATGTCTACATATGTAGGACACCTGGCTGACTAGAAAAAATCATTAAGATCAAACACTAAGAAAGGCCACCTTGATTAGGGGCGAGAAGGTTGCTAGTGACCATAGAACCGCATTCCAACATGAAATCAGCACCTTCAGAAGTGGAGAGAAAAGAGAAAAAGTTAGCGGGTGGGTCAGCTATTGAGCAAAGAGAAAGCTCTTAATCAGTGGGTGAAAATCAGCAGAATGATTTTGAAGTATTTATGTCATACACCTTCTACTGGTCGATTCTAGAGCAAAGACTTGGAAGCAGTTTGTGAACCTTATTGTACCTTTACCACAGTGGCAATAACTTTGTTCATGTACACGCTGCCAATACTCCAGACCAATCTGGAAGCAGCCATTTTCAGGAATATTCTGGAATCAACTTGGTATCATGCTTCACTGCACAAAACATAATGGACATGGCATGGACATTTCAGGATTCCCTTCCAATAAATACCAACTTCAAACCTCTCCCCTTCACTTCAAATAGTACATGATGCAGTTGGGGAAGATTCTGTAGCATCTATTGTACATAAACTGTTACTCCAACGCATGCGTTGCTGCAATAACAAACACCGCAAACAGTCAAGAGCGTATTTTAACTTGGGTTTGGTAACTGACACCAGACCTGCAGAGTGAAAGACTAAAGAAACTGCTGACTATGCTGTAGTTTACTTTTTCTACTGGGTTACTAAGTTCATTTCCATATGCAATATAAATCAGATATTGCACAAAAAGCAGAAAACAACCTTGACAAAATTAGCAACTGTAATGGTTGCGGGATTCAATCTTTATGAGTTTTTTTGCCGGTAGTTACTAGCACAAAATTATTGCTGAGCTCAATCTGGTTTTATGCCTATTCTGATTTAAATGCCTCATCTGGGTGAATTCGACTTACATTCGCTACTTATAATCATATTTAGACTTTAAAGCAGCTCAAATTGGGGATTAAATCCACACCCTTAGGGTGTGACAAGTATAATCAATGCTGCAAACTGGTTGCAAATTTTCAGGCATGGCATCTTTATTTGGGTCAGCGGGTATCCGAGACAATTGCATTTGATATAGCATTTTATCATGTCTTCGAGACATCTCAAAGCGCTTCACAGAATATACTGCAAAATGAATTGACTGTATATTTTGTGGGCGAAACGCGGCAGCCAATTGCGCACAGCAATGTCCCACAGTTGTGGATTGAAGTGATTTATTATTATTATTTTTATAAAGGAATTATTACCCTCTGAAAAGCAATCTGCCAATCGACTAACAACCGGGTTTCTACTTACTGTTAGGTACACAGAGGCGTGTGGAGTAAGGAAACTTGCCCAACATTTCATCCTGCCAGGTCTCTCGTTTGCAAGGCGAGTGCTCTAACCACTGAGCTGAAGGGCTCCTCGTGGAAACCCATCACCGTGCTTAATATCGACCCAAACCAAACTGAGTTTCATGTATCCCACATCGAAATTCCATGGAATCCACATTCTCTACCTGGAGGTACACATTCTGCTTATCTAATTTCAGAGAGTATTAGCCACAGTTTGGTGAAAGTAGAGGCTTGTGGACCCCATTATGCATGCTGGAGTCTAATCAACTAAAGCTTGCCATTGAAACACCGTCTGGCAAGCATCCCCGCTGCTTGACCAGGTAGGCCACCCTACCCATTCGGGCTTTGGGTGCAGGGTTTAACAGGAGCTGAGTGGAAAGAGATCCTACCCCAGTGACTGGTCGTGGTATTGAGTTGAGGACTTCTCTGTAACTAGATTTACATCTTTCCCAAACTACAACTGTCATGGCTGGCACTTAGAACTGCAATTTTGTCACTCGATACTCGGAGGACATGTTCCAAAGCACATGGTCCAATTTAAGCTGCTGTAAACATTTCTTAGAAAGAAACGATTAAGGTTACTGCTAATTGTAATCTTCCAGGCTTTATATTTAAAACTAACAAACAAAATTGTCACAACTTGTTTCACGATTCAGAACTGTACTTATCAACGTCAGCCATGACTACAGATCCCATCAGTTTTCAGTCCAAACTATACTGCTGTGTGGACATTTTGTGGCATGGACTGTGATCTAACCTCTGTGAAAGAATTTTGAGCCCCATGACAATCATTCTTCACAATTGACACTCAGGTAGCCAAGCCAGTCAGTCAACAAATAATACACATATTGTTGAAACCAACATTAAATGGTCTTCACGGGCAACTGCTCTGATCTCTTCCAAAGAGAGTTTAAAGACAAAAGCGATTTTTATTTGCACAGACCAAAATTAAGATGGGTTTCCTCCACATTTACAACCCACATCCTCCTAGCAAGTTGAACCCTTTCGTGAAACATCAGATAGATAGTCCCTTTTTGGCGATTTTTGCTTAAAGGCATATATATATATATATATTTTACTCAACTTTTTGATATAACCAGCACTTATTTTTTTTAAAAAACGGGAGTATATCAACGTGGCTCCAGTTAGTTAACCTTTAACACATTGTGTGGGTGTCTGCAATGGAGAGAGATGATGAAATAGTTGCTTTAGAAGATTCCGAAAAAGCATTAAATCGGAGGTTTCCCCCAAACCAGGATACCGCAAACCATTCATTCTAAAGGAACCTCTCCCCCCCCCCCCCACACCCCAACACCCCCACACCCCCAGAAGAAAAAAAAATTACCTCGACCCATTTTAACCATTTTTATCAAATTAGAGTGAGAGAGAGAGAGAGAGGGGTCGGTCGGTCGGAATATGCGTAAGGCCCGAGTTGTAAAGTTGTTATAATAACAATAACCCTCTGCGGGTTGACACACAGCGCCTTGTCACGTCTTCGAGGCGTCCCGGAGCGCTTCACCGGATACCCCGTGAAGTGAACCGACTGTACATTTTTGCGGGCGAAATAAGTGAAGTTATTTCTCGTGCCCTCCCCCCGCGGCCCTCGCTGCGGGGGCCAGGACTCGGCGCGGGCGCCGCTCCGCTCGCTCACCCTCGGGCGGCTTCCAGGCTCTTGATGAGTTTTTTGATTTTCCAGATCTCCACGTTCCTGTCGGCCGCGGTCGGATCGTCCGCCATCTTTTTCTTCTTCTTCTTCTTCCTCTGGCGGCTGCCCTGGGAGCGGGGAGCGCGGCGGCGGCGGGAGGGGCGAGGCGGGAACGGAGAGACCCGGGGACACGTATAAAGACACACACAGAGACGGGCCGGGATGGCTCCTCTCTCTCTCTCTCCCTCACACACTCACTCACTCCCTCCCTCACACCCACTCTCTCTCTTCCCCCCTCTCTCTCTCTCTCTCGCTTCTTCTCTCCGGCAGCTACGACCTGCGACGCGACCCCTCTCTCCCTCTCTGACGTCACGACACCGGCTCCCGCATGTGCCACAGTCACGTGCCTCCGCAACCCCCCCCCACAACAACGCCGCAGCCCATTGGCCGACCTCATCCAACAACGCATCTCCTCATTGGTTGCTCCGACTGCCATGCGCTGGTCGCCGCGCTGCCCTGTGGGACTTGTAGTCTTCCCCCGCCCCCGCCCCACATGTTCCTTGGCTGCTGTGCTCTGCTCAGACTTTCATTTTTTTTCTTGTAATTTTTTTAAAAAAAGACAAGAAGTGGGGCTTACAACACGGAAACGATTAGCCACACATAGTTATTGATGCACAGTGATAATGCACTGTGCATAGGTCATAATAATGATTCGGTAACAACTTTCAAGAGAGAACTGGATAGATATTTGGGGAGGACAAATCTGCACGGCTATGGGCAGAGAGCAGGGGATTGGGATTAATTTGGACAACTCTTTCAAAGAACCGGCGCGGGCACGATGGGCTGAATGGCCTCCTTCTGTGCTATATAATTCTATGATTCTATCAATAATGCTTAAAATGGAATTGGATCAACATTTCCTCTCCCCCGCCCCTTCAATAGGCTTCCCGGATGCCTTTTTTTCCCTATCTTAGATGTTTGGTGAACTTGCTTTCTACTTCAAAAAAAACATTTACGACATGTAACGTTTGGCCCCAAATTTTAAAGTGTCATTTGATATACATGAAGAGGAATAAGAAAGGCCTGGAAAGAACAAGGAAATAAGAGTACATTGGTTTGGTTCAGTGCGGGAGATGGCCAGCTTAGCCTCAAAGGGCCAAGAAGCCTTTCTATGTTGTAATTTCCATTCTTCTAAATGTTCTTTGAAGTCTGAAAGTTTTTTTGTGTTCAAACAACAGGAACACTTTTTTGGTAGAGAAGGGGGATCTGAACAAATATCTTATAATTGTGCCAATCTATTCAAAGCACACTTAATGTTGCTGGTGCCAGTGCCCATCCTGAACGTGAGAAGCACAGAGGCGAACTGTTGACCCGGCCGAAATCTAATTTCAGTTACGATGAGACTGTTTGGCAGAGTATGTATCGTAATAGTGTGTAACAGTGAGACTATTAGGCAAGACATGTGCAGTAAATCCTCTCGCCCTGACAATAGTCACCTCTGTCAAGCACCTCAGGGCTCCATACTTGGCTTCCTTTTCCTTATCTACATGTTCCTTACTGATATAGGGTGTTAGAGGGAACAGCTTGCCAGGAAAGTAGTGGAGGCCAGGACGCTGGACTCATTTAAAAAGTAGATTGATGCAGTGTGGGGACGCAAGGGTGGGTATTCTGGAGGGATGAAATCAGATAGGTCGAAAAACCTTCGTCACCCAGACCAATCTTGTGGTCTTATGTACGCGAATGACACATGCATCTACTTTTCTACTTCTACTCTTAATTCCAGGGACACTGATGTTCTATCCGCTTGCCTGTTAGACATCAACCCCTGAATTAGCCGCAATTTCCTACAACTTAATATAAATAAGCAGAAGCCACCATCCTTAGTTCTTGCCAACATCTCTCTTCCTGCTCTGATTTCTTTAAGCCCTCCAAGCCTCTTCGTCAAATGTGCAACATTGGCGTCTGGTTCATTCCTCCCCTCTGCTTTCTCCCTCATATCCAATTCCTAACCAAAATCGCTTTCCTTCACCACCAGTACATTGTCCACCTCCAACCTATCTCACACCAAGCACTTATCCACTCCTTTATTACCTCCTGCTTAACGCATTTCTAATGTACTCCTTGTTGTTCTCCACAGAGGTTCCAATGTTTCCATAACTCACATCCTCTCCTGCACCAAATTCGGTTAGCTCATGATCCTAATACTTGTTAAGCTCCATTGTCACCCTGTCTCTCAGCAGATTGATTTCAAGGTCCTCATCCTCACCTGTTAAACGTCCTTTGTTTACCCCCTCCACTCAGCAAACGCAGGCTTGCTGTGCACGCCTGCATTCTCCGTGCCATCATTGATGGTCGGGTTTTCAGTTTCTATGCCACTTACCTTTGGAACTCGTTTCCTCTCATTCCATTTTCGTCTTAGAGCCTAGCTCTATGGACATCTCATCAATCCCCCTGCTACTCTCACTTGCTCAGTGACCAACTACATCTTTATTCAGTGCTCGAAGACATTGTGCTACTTGAAGGGCCCATTTTATAAATTGCTGTTGTTGTTCTGGTGTGCTAAAGCGGTCAAGGTGTGTGTACAGTAATAAGTATTACAGCAAGACTGTGAAGGGCATAGCCTTTGTATGATTGAAGACTGATGCTTGAAAGATGAAAAGATGTGTCCCAGCAGATAGATGGCTGAAGCTGAGCTGCAGGGGTTGTGACAGGAAGAGTTGAGGGGAGGAGTGACAATGGGAGACAGCTGTGGGTGTTGGCAGAGGGAAAAGCACGTTGGTAAGGTATTCTTGTGATCTCACTGTAACAACTGATTGAATGCCCTTACCCAACAGTGAAGTCAAAGTATTGAATTATTCGTATTTCATAAACTGTTCCAAAGTTATACAGTGCAACAAAAAAAAGCCAAAACCACATAAAAGTACAACAATTGAAGGTATTGAGTTAAATCTAGGAGGTTTCCGAAGTGCGCAGCTGTGTTTTTATTATTGTAATGTATCCTTCTCCCTTTCACCTTGAGTCTGTTTGAAGGTGTGTTTGTGCAGCTGAGAGGACAGACAATATTCTGCTCTCAGATCTCTCCCAACACACTCTGTAGCCAGCTGGAAGGCAGTGCCAGGTGCTGCCGAGTCAAAAAATTCCTTGTCCAGTTTTTCCTCTTCTCCCCACCCACTCCTCCTCCTCTCCCCCTCCTCCTCCTCTCCTTGGCCTTCCTCCCCCCTGTCTCCTCCTCCTGCCCCCCCCCCCCCCCGCCCCCCCGCTCAAGTGATGTCATTGTTTCTGACCAACTTGGCTCAGATCAGAAATAGAAAGGTCGCAATTTTATAGTACCTTATCACACAAAATGTCTCAAATTGTTTCAAAAATCAAATGTAGTGACTGTTTGTAGAGGCAAATGCAGCAGCCAGTTGTGCCAGTGAGTCCTACAATTAATTATGATGTGAATGATCAATTAATCTGGAAGATTGTTAACCAAGGCACCAGGAGTAACTCCATTCTCTTTTCCAATTGTATCACACGATCTTTAATATTCCCCTCAATAGGTAGAAGGATGTAGATTGTATGTTGGCTGACCTTCTCATCAAAAGTTGGTAACTGAGCGGAGTGAGGGGAGACTGACTTCAACCTGTCCAACTTTGTGGTTGGTGCTAATGCAGCACCATTAGTTTGCCCTCTACTGTGTTATTTTTCTAATGTTCTTCCTTTAACTCTCCTGTTTTGAATGTGTTAACATATGTTCGAGCAGGATTGCTTGGGAATCCCACATCCACATGTGAGTCTAGACAAGATAGTTATTTTCAGTGGGATTTTCAACCAAGAAGCTTATCACAGTTGATCCTGCTCTTATTCAACACTCGCACTTTCCAATATTCGATCACTGGATAGCATCCCCAGGTGAGATCAAGTATCTCAGCGAAGATAAAGGAGTAGGAAGCTTGCCAGACAGCCTTCAATGATAGTTTTAACTAGTCAAACTGCAGCAGTACCACAACACACTTTCGGTTCCCCAGTCCAATACTCTCCAGAATTAGGAACGCATGATGCATCCTTGAAGAAAGCGTGTTTATTTCCAGCCACAGGTAAATTTCCATATATATTGCATGCATGCAACAACAACTTGAATTTACATAGCACCCTTCATACTGGATAGTGTTTCGGAGTGCTTAATGGAAGCATGGAACTCTCAATCTTAGATACTTTTAAACACAGTAATGAATATCCTCATGTTTCCACCATGCTGACTAAACACATTAAAACCTTAGGCTAGCTCAGTTGAACTCTCGCCTCTGAGTCAGAAGGTTGTGGTTCAAGCATCAAGTTGGAACTTAAACTCAAATCTAAGCTGACACTCCAGTGATGCTCTGAAGGTGTGCTGCATTGTTGGGAGATGCCGTACTTCGGATGAGACATTAAACTGAGGCCTTGTCTGCATATTCAGATAGATGTTAAAGATTCCATGGCACTATTTGCAAAGAGAAGGGAGTGTCTTCTGGTGACCTGGCCAATAAATCCCCAAATGAAATTGGTTCTTTGCTCCGTGGCTGTTTGTCATATATTTCTGTGTGCAAACTGTCTGCCATGTTTCACCCACAAAATACACAATCCACTTTACAGTGTACCCTGCGAAGCGCTTTGAGATGTCCTCCTCATGTGAGACACTATATCAAATGTAAGGATTAGTCTATTAATATTTATGGGCATGTTTCAAGTGTTAATTTCTTCGAATTCTGCCTAGTGAAAATCACCACTTGTCAATCATTTGTTCTGCCAGCATCACACTGTAGAAATAGGCTTTGTGATGGAATCCTATGAAGCTCATACAACTAGTCCAATAAAATAATCTATTGAGATACAGTAATTCTCTTTCTCATGTGAGCAATCACTAACCTTCTCCCAGGCCTGTCTTGTCACAAGTTGATATTTTAATGACAAGCTAAAAATATTACATCTTAAAACATAATATTTGAGCCAGCTATCATTGCGAAAGTTTAGGTTTCTTTATCAACAATTTATTAATGATCCTTAACCTTTTATATTTGTGAAAGACTGGACTTTGCAGAATTGATGTCATCAGTCACATTGGCTGCTTGCTCCTCTTTGTAGCTCTTTATAATCCTTATAAGAGTAACCAGTGGTGAATGCACACAGACTGAAAACTGTAATAGGATGTTGTGATATCAACATGACAGAATAATACTGTTAAGTGATACAGAGGGGCAGAATACACAAATTCAGTCCCCATTAAAAAAATCATGCTCCATTGGATATTTCAGGAAATGTTATCTTATTGGGGTGTTTAAAAATAAGAAGATGATTCTTCCATCTGGTCAATAGCATAACAACAACTTGCATTTATATAGGGCCCTCCATGCTGGGGGGCGTCCTAGATCGCTTAACAATGGTGGAGCCCGATGCTGAGCCAGGGGTAGGGGGAAGATGACCGTAGGCACGGTCGAAGAGGAAGGTCTTCAGGTGCGACCTGAAAATGGGGAGAGGGGGGGCAAGGCAAAGGGATTGTGGGAGGGATATATGGTTCCAAAGCAACAGGTTAAAATTAGAGCTAGAATTATGAGAAGTGAGATCGTAAAATAGTTCTTTCAATAGAATTGGTTCTTCCAATAGTGGATTGTGAGAACGTGGAATTACACTACCCCAAATAGCTATAATCAATGGTTACTAGTCAAGAAGATAATGGAGGTTTCTGCTGTCTGATATGTGCAAGTTGGCTACTGCGTTTGGGTGGAAAGGCAGAGAGGTGGGAGGGCGACCAAAAGCACGATCAAAGAGGAGGGACTTGAGTCCGGCCTTGAAGGAGGTAAGGGAAGAAGTGACGCAAAGGGACCATGGGATGGAGTTCCAATGAAGTAAAGTGTGTATTTTGTAGGTGAACAAGTATTGCTTGGGTTCCCTCATGATTCATTTGGGAAACCGAGTGAAACTGAGCCATTCACTCCAATGAGTACCAGGGGAAATCCCTGACCTGTACTATATTAGTTGATCCCAGCTAAGGCAGTGGCCGGTACTACAAATAACCTGTGTCTCTGGGATAAGGAAAGAAAAAATTAGCTACGGTTCTTGCTCACTATTTTATGACCCTGCTATAACTACTATGTTGATATAGCACCAGGCTTTGTGTAACCACCCTCACCGCCACCCTGTACATATCGTTGGTCACCCTGTACAAACTGTTAAGGGGTCCATATATATTTGAAAGTTTCCTTTTTTCTGGAATGGAGTAGTCACTTTCTATCCAGAGGAACGCTCATTGTTAACCAAATCCCAGAAAGTATTGGATCCAGATTGGCAAGAGTCAAGGCTTGGGGCGAGACAGAGTGTGCGCGTGTTTGAGGATAGGGCTGGAGTTTAAGTATCTAAGACCATATAGCGTTCTGTCGCAATCGGTCATTCACTTCACTTCACAACTATTAGTGGGACATTTGCTGTGTGCAAAAATGGCTACTAATACTAGTAATAATCCGTGCATTTAGTACAGCGCCGGATCACGCCTTCGAGACGTCTCAAAGCGCTCCGCGGAATACACCGCAGAAGTGAATCGACTGTGTGCGCTGTGGGCGGAACACGGCAGCCACGTACACTAAACCTGCGTACAAACGCCCCGGTCACTACACGGAGCGGTCACCGGACTGAGTTGGACGAAGAGGGCCCCTGGGCCCTGGGCCCTGGTCTCATCCTCTGAAATGATCTGAGATGTTTTGGCGGTTGTGAAAATAATAATAATAATAATAATAATAATCCTGGCCTTTGATACAGCGCCTTATCTACGTCTTCTATAATCGTATTAAATTATATCGACCTGCATCGAACCCACGGATCACCACCATCATGATGATGATGATGATGATGAAGATGGCGGCGTTCAGGCCGCAGCCCCAACGCTTCCCGTCCCGTCGCCTTGGCCACTCGGTGACGTCACTGGACGTCCCGTGACCAGTTTCCATGAGCTGCTCTCCGGTGATTGGCTGGAACCAGTCCGCCCCGCTGCTCGGGTCCGACTGCAACACGTGCCCCTGGATAATCGTTCCCGGGCCACTCGCGATTACATCGGGCAGCAGGTGTCCGTCGCTCTCTCTCTTCCCCGTCCACCGCCGCCCCCCTCCTCGCCGCCCCCCCCTCGGCCTGAGGTTCCGGTGCGGGGCCGGAAGCGCCGGGAGAGAAGATGGCGGCAGCGCGCGGCTCGCTCCTTCTGCTGCTGCTCCACAACAGCCTGGTCCAGCTCGCCTCCGGCGACATCACCGACGGCAACAGCGAGCACCTGAAGCGGGAGCACAGTCTCATCAAACCCTATCAGGGTGAGTGCGCGAGCGGGGAGCTGAGGGTGCAGCCAAACACAGGGCCGGAGCCAGTGCGGGGGCTCAGGGCTGGGACAGGGTCTGGGTTTATAATAATAATAATAATAATAGTAATGATAATAATAATAATAATCCTTGCATTTGATATAGCACTTTTCACGTCGGGAGGACGTCCCAAAGCGCTTCACAGAACACACTGTAAAGTGAATTGACTGTATATTTGTGGGCGAACGCGGCAGCCAATTGCGCACAGCAATGTCCCACAAACAGTCGTAGATTGAAAATGACCAATTTATTATTGTTTTTGGTTTTGGAGGGATTATTATTAGGCTCTGTGTGGAGTAAGGAAACTTGCCCAAGGTTTCGCCCTCTGCCTGGAATTGAACTCAGGTCTCTCACTTGCAAAGCGAGTGCTCTAACCACTGAGCTACAGGACTCCACGATAATAGTAATGATAATAGTAATGATAATCCTTGCAGTCGACACAGCGTCTTGTCACGTCGCAGAGGCGTTTCAAAGCGCTTCACAGGCGACACTGCAAAGGGAATTGACTCTTCGCTCATTAAATGGAGTCGGATCCCCCCCTCCCACCCCCCTCCCCCCACCGCCGCTCCTTGTCGGGTAGGTTTGGTGGATCACTTTTCCTGGGGGTAATATTCTCCCTCTTAGGAAAAAAAAATTACTAAATCCTGAGAGTGATGATACATGGCTGCGCGCGATCGGCTGCTGAGTCTCACCCACAGAATACGCCGGTGATTCACCTCACCCTACACTGTGTGAAGCGCCGTTGGGACGATCACCCAGAACTCTGCAGCCCGTGTCCTCTCCCGCACCGGGCTCCGCGACCCCATCGCCCCCATCCTCACCCCGACTCCACTCGCTTCCCATCACACAGAGGATACAGTTCAAGATCCTGGTCCTCACCTTCAAAGCCCCTCCACAGTCTTGCCCCCACCCCCCGACCTCTGCAACCTCCTAACCCCCTACTACCCTGTTCGTTCCCTCCGCCCAGCGGGCTCCGGCCTGCTTCATGTCCCCCGCCTTGCTCGCTCCACTATCGGGTGGCGGGCCGTCCACCACTCTGCACCCACCCTCTGGAACTCCATCCCGCAGTCCCTCTGTCTCGCCCCCTCCCTCACCACCTTCAAGACCCACCTCAAGATCCTCCTCTTCGACTGTGCTTTCAATCTCCCTGCTTCCCCAACTGCCCTCCACCCTCCCACACCCCAACCCTCAGCTCGGGTCTGTAACTCTGTCTGTCCAGCACATTGGGACGCCCTCCCGATGTGAAAGGCGCTTTACAAATGTAATTTTGTTGTTGTTATCTCGAAGATGTGATAAGACACTATATCAAATGATAATAGTACTTGCATTTGAAATAGCGCCTTATCACATCATCGAGACGTCTCAGAGCTTCACAAGATACACTGTAAAGTAGATTGACTACGTATTTTTGTAGCCAATTTGCACACAGCAGTGTCCTACAAACATGGAGTGAATGAGCAATTCTATTTGGGGGATTTTTAGCCAGGACACCGGGAGATGCTCCTTTTTTTTTGAATAGTGTCATGGGATATTTTAATGTCCACCTGAACAGGCAGACGGGACCGCGGTTTAATGTCTCATCAGAAGGATGACCCCTCTTGACAATGCAACACACCTCCAGCACTGCATTGGAGTGTCAGTTTGGACTATGTGATTCTGTCCCGAATCCATAATCTTCTGAGCCACAGACAAAAATGCTGAGGCAAGCTGATACTTAAGATGGATGGTGGCAGTTATTCACACTGGCAGAGCAGGAGTGTTCTCTAAGGCTGATTAAAAACAGTTTTGAAGAGACCTTTATTTTATAATTAACCATAGCTGTATGTGTCTTGAGAGTGCTTGATTGTGGACAACGGTTATGGTACATTACAAACTGTTCCTTTCTGCTAATGTGTAATTAAATGCCTTCTACTGGATAAAACCCATGCATGATTGAGCACGTAAGATCAAACTGCCATAAAGACTGATATTCAGATACTCCCGATTTTTTGAACAGTCGACAAAAGATAAATCAATAAATGTCTTTATTGCAGCTGAGATGAAATCTTTACTATTGCTGCCCAGTAATCTGAAAAGAGTATCGACTGGTTCGACTGCTGCCTTTATAGTGATTAATGGAGTGCAAAGCTGGATTTATAGTGAGACAAAGAGGCAAGTGTGCTGTCAACTGAGCTAGGCTGACACACAGAAGAAACAGACTTCCTGTTTTTGACAACTCTGTGCTATTTTGAACATGATTGTAGAGTCTCTTTTTAATAGCAACCAAATATTCTGTCAAAATTGGACTTTGAAAGAACAGGGGAGTGCATTGCAGTTCGCACCTGTTGTTAAAGCTGCCCGGTTGCTCCTCATATTGTGCCTTGTGTTCCAAACAGTTTGAGGAGAACAGCTCCTATGGTGTAAACACAGCATAAAATATGTAGTAGTTTAATTTTTCAGAATCCTCTGGTGTTACTGTAATTGCTTACAGTAACATCAGAGCAATTATGAGGAGGATAATAGTATCCACTTTAAACAATATTTAACTTAGACTAGAGTAATAGATATCTTTTGTAGAATTGCAATAGTAGTCTATCAAATAGCTGCTGCAAAATCGATTGAACAAAAAATATCTTGCAATTATGATCATTCATTTAACTAAGTGCCTTATCTTTCTCTTTGACCATGCGTATGGTCACCACCCCTTCGTCAGGCTCCACCACTGTTTAGTGCTCTGAGAAGCTACCCTGTATGAAGGGTGCTAATATAAATGCAAGTTCCCGTTGTGCAATTTGTACTTAAGTTAAAAGCTAGTGTCAGCACCTTGGGACGTCCTCCCGATGTGAAAGCATGTGGTACAATTAATATTTTATAAGTAATGTAGCTTCATGGAATATTTTAACAGAAATGTCCAGAACACTTTTTAATGTATCACAGCTTTATTGAAATGTCGCTAAGCATTGGGAATTCAGTTTACAGTTTTCAAACAATAACTAATGTGTTGTTTATTACATATAACTCCACACGATAGTGCGTATTTAACAAGAATTCTAATGAAGTCACCTAAGATTGAGGTGTTCCAGATGTAGGTTCAGTTAAATGCGTAGAAAAGTTGAAAATAACCTTAATACAATTAGCAGACAGGTTTTCCGAAGTAACCTGGAAGCAATCGTGTATGAGCGTAGATTTGGAGGGAAAGAATAGACTTTTGAGACAGAGGTGTTCATGTTCACTTTTTTCCTTCCTTCAATGGTCTATTCTAATGTATCATTTATATGTAGGTGCAATTGAAGTTCTTAGCTAGAAATTTAAAACCTGTGTATATTGTACATGAATCTGTATCTGATAATTGTCCAGTTCAGACATGATTGCTCATTAACTCAGCCTGATCTTGGAGCCTTGCTATTAAGCCTTGCTAGATATTGTCTATCTAGGTTTATGTTCCAGCCCCCACGGTGAGTCATTGATCAGAAGTGTTTTATATGTGAAAACATTATTTCTATAATTAGTTTGTAGTTTGTAAGTAAATGAAGACTGAGGGGATAGTTATTTGTTAGGTCAGACTATCAAGGAACACAGGGCAAGAGCGGGTAATTGGAGTTGAGGTACAGATCAGCCATGATCTTATAGAATGGTGGAACAGGCTCGAGGGGCTAAATGGCCTACTCCTGTTTCTGTGTTTCTAAATCTAAGTTGTATTCTCAGTTGAGTGTGACTTGCTATTTTTCCTGCAGGAGTGGGATCCAGTTCAATGCCACTATGGGATTTTGGTGGAAGCACAATGTTGACCAGTCAGTATGTTCGACTGACCCCCGATGACCGCAGCAAAAGAGGATCAATTTGGAACCGAATGGTGAGTGAATTACCATGATTAAAAACCTGAGTACCTCATGCTTTCAATGTGTGGTGATGATGACTGTTTGTGGGACATTGCTGTGCGCAATTGGCTGCCGCGTTCGCCCACAAATATACAGTCAATTCACTTTACAGTGTGTTCTATGAAGCGCTTTGGGACGTCCTCCCGACGTGAAAAGCGCTATATCAAATGCAAGGATTATTATTATGATGGTTCCACCAGCAATGAGCACTAGCTATCCTTGTGCAATATTATCCAGGTGTATTAATTTATTCTTCTCAAATTGTAAAATAATGTATTGTCAAGCTGGCCACTTGGTAGAATTTTTTTCATGATACTTTCTTTCCTTTCTTTCCTTTTATAATTCTGCGGAAATGCATAAATTGAGTTGACAAATTGGTTCTGAAATGTTAACTGAAACACTAACTGAATAGTGTTCTTAAATAATTTAATACATATGGATGCCAACAGCAGTTGTCTTACATTGGCTCTCTATTACCTTTGCACAGTTCATGTGTTAAAATTCCCAAACTGGGCTTCCACCCCCCAGCTCAGGTGCCAAGCCAGGACTGTTGAGAGAGAGCCTTGGGATGTCCTCCCAATGTGAAAGGCAGTACATAAATGTAAATTTGTATTGTAATATTTTTCTAGGACTATCTAATCTAAGACTTTCTTATTGCAGCCATGTCACCTGAAGGATTGGGAGCTCCATGTCCAGTTCAAAGTTCATGGATTAGGGAAAAAGAATCTCCATGGTGATGGGTTTGCTGTGTGGTACACAAAGGATCGACTAATCACTGGTAAAATAGTGCTTTCTCCATTATGTGAATATTCACTGTAAAAATAAAATCTTTCCATAATTGGATGACATTTTCACTGATCCAAAGTCAGTAATACGTATTTCCTACTTTTTTCCCCTCCAGTCTTTAACATTACTATGTTTCATTTATTTAATTTAAATTAAAATTACAAGGGATGTTTTTAATAGGTCCTGTGCAATTCTGCTTGAACAAGTCATCCTTATGACAGCTGTTGATGAGAATTGTGTACATTTTGCCAAAAGACCTTTAAAGTCAAACCTTTCAATTCCTCGTGACGAACCCAGTAGCTTAACAAAATGTTTCCCGCAGTTTTGTTTCCTCCTGCAGTACCAGAGTTTAGTAACCAGGGGGAGTTCATGAGCCTGTCTTCAGTGATACCTATCCCAAGGATGGCTATGATGAAGATCATTTATAATGTTTGTACATCTCGTTGTTTTGCTTGCAGGCACTGTGTTCGGAAGCAGAGATAACTTCCACGGGTTAGGATTGTTCATAGACACGTATCCAAATGATGAGAACACTGATGTGAGTGCTGTGTGGCAGCCCACTGTTTTTTTATACTTTATATATTCTAGGTGATCTCCCTCACTTTGTTCAAGGTCCTGTGCTTTTGGGTATAATTATAACAATTCTTGCATTTGATATAGCGCCTTTATCACATCTTCGAGGCATCTCCAAGCGCTTCACAGAATATACTGTAAAGTGAATTGACTGTATATTTTGTGGGCAAAACGCGGCAACCAATTGCGCACAGCAGTGTTCCACAAACAGTCGTAGATTGAGTGACCCAATGATTATTTTTTCAAATTGTTTTGAAGGGATTATTACCCCCAGAAAAGCAATCCGCCAATCAACTAACAACCAGTTTCCTACTTACTGCTAGATAAACAGGCGTGTGGAGTAACAAAACTTGCCCAACATTTCGCCCTGTGGGGAATCAAACCCAGGTCTCTCGCTTGAGAAGCGAGTGTTTTAACCACTGAGCAACAGGATTCCGCATTTCTGAGTTAGCTGATCTTAGCCGATGCTGCTTCAGTTAGTCTTGGGGTCCCTTGGGAAGGAACATACGGACACAGTAAGCCATTCAGCCCATATAGTTTATTCTGACATTTTATTAAATTATGGCAGCTCTTTATCTTACTGATCCTTTTTTCTTGCCTTTTCTCCACATCCCCTAGTTCTATTACTTATTGTATCTCCTTCACCTCAAATCAATTCTCTATTTATTGCCATCTGGTGGAACAGCTGGACTGAAAGAGGGAATTTAATTTTGGTCAGTCTTAATTAAGGACAGAGTAAGATGCTTGATCTTTGAAGTGATTTTAATTACACTCTTCTGAATGCAGCGTGCCTTTCCTTATGTTTCGGCAATGGTTAATAATGGGTCCATGAGTTACGATCATGGCAAGGATGGACGACCATCAGAACTTTCAGGATGCTCCTCAGAACTTCGAAATGTGGACCATGATACCTACTTGGCAATTCGATATTCCCGCGGCAGATTAACAGTAAGTGGGTGGGGAGAGGGACGAGAAATGGTTGTTGTGCTTATGAGCTTGTGCTGCAGCAGGTGTGTTTGAAGGGAACCCATGTTTGCGGGCATTTTAAAACAGCAAGGCATCAGAAGCATGACTAAGAGAAGAAAGTTGCTGGGTCTAAGAAATCTGTAAATCATCAGAATAAATCAGGAAAATAAATAGGATGCTGAGGTGCGAGGTTCATTTAGAAATAGTAAGAACCTGCAGTATGAATTGATTTTTTTAGCACTTCACAAGCAAATAGTGGCAAGTGCAGCAGTTGTTTTTATAGGCAAACACAACAGCTATTTTTGCTAGCAAGGTTCCAAAAACAGCCACGAGGGGAATAACTAATGACTCTGAAGGATTGTTGGCCAGGCACTGCCTAGTAACTGGACAGACAGTTTTTAACTGTCTTAACTTTTTAATGGCCTTGCTCCTCCCTACCTCTGTGACCTAACCCCCACCAATCTGTCCACTCCCTCTGCTCAACGGGCTCCAGCCTGCTTCACATCCCCCACCTTGCCCGGCCCACTATTGACGAGTGGACCTTCAGCCTTTCTGTCCCCACCCTCTGGAACTCCATCCCACAGTCTCGCCACCTCCCTTGCTTCCTTCAAGACCCATCTCAAGACCCTCTTCTTTGACTGTGCTTTGGTCACCACCTTACCCTCCACCCCTCGTGATCCCAACCACCAGCTCGGGTGCGGATCCCTGACTGTCCAGCTCCTTGGGACGTATTCCTGACGTGAAAGGCGCTATACAAATGTAATTTGTTGTTATCTTATTTTGTATTGTTCACGTCTATTTAAAAATTGTGCACTCTTGTTGAGGATGCTTGTCATTGAGTTCAGAATAGGTTGGTTGAGCGGAAGATGGGGCCAGACTTTGAGTATCTCCTGTAACACATGCACAACGTTCACTGAATACTGCTGCATCCTACTCTGAGACTTCCTAGTCTGTGAATTGAAACTTCTTCAAAATCAGCAGTTGTTCTGAAGCCAAGTGTGATGATCAAACAGTTGGAATTAATTGTATGTAATTCTTATTCGTTTAATTTCCTATTCAAGATGGTAGGCAGGCAATCTGTCGCCAGGTGTCTGCCAATTGTTTTCTTGGGCCAGTGGCTGAGATTTCCTCCTTGTTTCTTCCACTGCCACCTGAAGAGCTGGCTGACCTTTTGTGTCTCTCTAATGGGCATGTTTTGAGACTTCACATGTCAGGTGTGGAATCACAGTTGGCTCAGCATGCTGGCCACCTGCACAATGCCGTGCAGTTGAACTTTTTGCCAGCTATGAACTGTTTCACTAATCAGCTGCTAGGGCCAAAGAGCCCTGCACTATGGGAATTCACTTCATAGTTCATTAACTGGGGTATTTGATATCTATTACCAGGGCCATTGTGAATATGGAAATCATGTTCCAAAATCAGGCCATCACACAAAATACAACGCATTAAACTAATCAATAGTACTTCTGTTGGATGTTACCTGTCATTATAGTGTCATATAGTGCATTGTCAGTTTCTTTCACACGCCATTCTCCCCCCGTGTATTCCCACGTACCATGCATGCGTGTGTGGGTGCAGCCCTTTGTCTCTTTCTGTTTCTCTGTCTCTCTCATTCATCTTTGTTCTCTCTTGAATTCGCTCTGCCTCATTTTCTCTCTCTTCCCCTCAGTTCTTCATGTTCTCTCTCTTTTTACCCCCACTCCCGTGTTTTATCTCTCCTCCCCCATCCTCATATTCTCTCTTCTCTCCTCCCGTGTTCTCTCTCCCTCCCTCCTTCATGTTCGCTCTCTTGTGCTTTTTTCTCTCTCTTATATACCTGTTCGCTCTCTTGCCTGTGCACCTGCTCCCCAGTAGGTTATTTACGCAGAGGATGGAAAGGGAAGGAATAACAGCTGAACCTGATCGTGTTCATAAATGCACTTTCCAGCTGGAGTTGAGTGCAAGAGCGGAAACTCGGGATGAATTTCATTTTCTTTTTTTTCCTTCTCCTCCTTGAACCTACGGGTGCATTTATAGCCTATGATGCTGCCAAAGCTGAGCTTAGTTATTTCAGACCAGACCAGCATTCAATCCTGCCACCTTGTGGACTATGTTGGAGTCTTGTTATAAGGTTGCGGTTGGAGTTCATAATATCCAACCTGTTTCACTGCTCCTTGCCTGGCGTTGTGTGCTGAGCTAATGGCCACCTCCTGTGTAAAGCATGTGACATCGCCAGTGACCTGGAAGCTGGCTGTGTGTTTATACTCTTATCCAGTGAATGGCTCCATGCTACAATCATGTTATAACTAAATTTGCACTTAAAAAAAATTCTCACTATATATAATATAGTACAAAATTACATTATTATAGTGCCTTCACGTCGGCCGGATGCCTGTCCCAAGGTGCTGAACAGTCAGGGAATTGGACCCGAGCAGGTGAGGAGGGGTTGGAGTAAGGGAAAGTGGGCAGGGGGTGTAAGAGTGTGGCCGAAGGCACAGTGGAAGAGGAGGGTCTTGAGATGTGCCTTGAAGGAGGCAAGGGAGGCAACAAGGCGAAAGCAATGTGGGATGGAGTTCCAAAGGGTGGAGAGGCTGAAGGCCCGACTGCCGATGGGATGGTTAATGCTGCACCCAACTCTGCTTTTACTCACTTGGGTGTCAAGAGAAGCTATTATGTCCATTGCTTATAGTTTGTTTCTCATTCTCTCAGGTGATGACTGACGTAGAGGATAAGAACGAGTGGAAAGAATGCATTGACATCAGTGGAGTTCGATTGCCGACTGGCTATTATTTTGGTGCTTCCTCAGCCACTGGAGATCTATCAGGTAACAGATCTGCTTACAAACTTTCTGCACTATTTTCCAGTTGAATGGTTGGGTTGTGAAAAGAGCATTATTTATGTTCAGCAAAAAGTTTGTATGGAATTGCATTTATTTTCTCCCAGGGGGTGGTAGGGTGGATGGGATGGGGGAAGGAGGATGAAGTCTACAGAGGGTAAAGTGAAACTCAGTGTTAAGGATAATCAGTAGACTAGCTTAGTTTGCTCTGGTGAGGTGCCCACAATAGTGATTTTGTGTGTAATAATTTCAAATTTATAAAATAATTGAATTTCCCTGAACACTTTCCCACAAGGTGTGTTTTTGGTTTAAATATTCCCACAATAGAATTACCATGAGAATTAGAATTCAGAACAGTTGCTGGATTTGCCTGGAGCAACGCTGTATAGTTTGAGGAGGAGCTGCCTATGCCTGTGCCTAAGAGCAACTCCCTTTAGTTTAACAGGCCAGGACTGTGGGAGAAATTGTAATGTGGAATTGTCCTACACCCAAGAGTGTGCAGTACTACTGGACAGCGTGGTATATTTGCTGGTGTAAATAAGCAGGACACACACAAGCTGTTTATTGCAGCAGTCCAGTGAAGAAGTATGAAAAATAGAGATAGCAAAATTACCCACCATTCAGCTGCAAATTGCCCGATTTGCCAGGTCACTTAATTGAAACGTACAATATATTAATAATAATCTAATTTATATATATATTAAGGATAATCTTACATTTTGTACAGCGCCTTTTACATCTGGAGGATGTCTTAAAGTGCTTCACAGATATATTGTAAAGTGGAGTGATTGTAGTGAAGACGAACGTGCCAGGTGATTTCTGCGCAGCAATATCCCACAAAAAGCCATGGAGTGAATACTCATTTTATTGTTTGTGTTTCTTAGATAACCATGACATAATCTCCATGAAGCTTTACCAACTCACAGTGGAGCACACACCAGAGGATGAAAGTATCGACTGGACAAAAATAGAGCCTAGTGTAAGCCTCTTGAAATCTCCGAAAGGTGAGAAGTGTTTTATGAGTGGGGGTGGGGTGTGAGCGGGAGGAGAATGGGGCTCTAACCTTCAACAACATCAGTGAAGATGTGGTGAAGTATAACAATGAATTGTTTTGGATCAGAGATTCCCAAATGCTGGAGGTCATTGTAGATTGGAACTCTGAAGTCATTGCTCCCTGACTTCAACCCACAGTCACAGATGTTAAGTTCACATGCTCCATCCTCTCTGATACAGGGAAGGAGGTCAGGCTGAGTTAATTGCAAGAATGGCTGAGCTGTAATTGTAGGGAGAGGTTTACCATTCATCTGTTTCTCACTGAAGATCAGAATTAGATCAGTGAAGAAATGGCTCCAGGGAAGATAGCGAGGGGTATGAGGTATAAGAGGGAATTGGATGAGGAAGACTGGCACAGCAAGTGTGATTAGTGAAAGAGTGTGACAATGGCCATAAGTGGAGTTAGTATGCTGGCACTTTTACGTCTTTTAAAGTTTTACCATTTAATATATATTTTTGTGCCTTCAGCTGTACTCCCACCCCCCACTCCTTCCCCACCATCCATGTTGACTCCAACCCCCAGCTCGGGTCCAAATCTTTGAAGGTCGAGTGCCTTGGGACGTTCCTAAAAATTGACATGTTGTGGATATTAGTCTAACTAGTCTATGGTTACTCGACTTAACGCTTTCTCCCTGTGTGCGTGTAGGCATTACATTGGGAATCTTCCAGCACGACTTTCATATCCAAGGCTCTTTGACCACATTTGGATCAGCTTTCCCCTTCCCACCCCCTGACTCACCAGTCACTCCGGTCACCACGAGCAGCACTCTCTGCTCGGCACATGTGCAGCAAACAGAAAGTGACATAAGCAGTTACCTGGAAGTCGGCCATTTTTTCTTTTAGCTTGGGAAACTCGCTCAGTCACTTCAGACTCTTATGCCATTGCACATCTAATTTCTGGGTGTGTTGTCTTCCTTGTCTTCCAGATAACATAGATGATCCCACAGGGAATTTCCGGAGTGGGCCACTTACTGGCTGGAAGGTTTTCCTGCTGCTGCTCTGTGCCCTCCTAGGAATCATCGTGTGTGCTGTGGTGGGCGCTGTGGTTTTCCAGAAACGCCAGGAACGAAACAAAAGATTTTATTGAACAAAAATTTGGCCGCAGCTACCATTTTAAAAAAAAAAGTGAATTTTTTTTCTACACGATGGTTTATATGAAAAGTTTATATCTAGAAAGGTGTAGAAATTACAAATATTTTCATACGTTTCTATAGACGAGAAAGGGCTTGTGGTAGCAAATGCTCAGCACGAAGGGGACAAAGGGGCAGCCACAATCCCTGACACTCTGTAGAGAAGCGCCTTGTTTTCTTTTTTTATTAATGTGTTTGTTGGAAACAAATCTGATTTTTATTTTTGGGGGGAAATTGTTTCACCTAAAGATGTTTGCTTTTAAATAGAACCTTTGCCAATGGAGTCCAGCCCTTTTCAGTTCGTGAATGTACGGCGACCAAGCCAGATAGATGTACAATGTGCTATCGGACTAGCTAGCGTCATACCTTACGATGCGTCCTGCTTGATGCGTGAAGTCTTTTGCGGTTATACGTGCTAACTGCATCAGTCTGTCACTTCAAAATTAAACTCAGATTTTGTGGGAATGGAGGGGGCGGAAAAGGAGTTTAAAAATAAAATTGTGTTAGACCACTTTCTGTACTTTCTACAAATCAATTCTTGCTGGTGTCTTTTGAACTGAATTGGATCTACCTGCTCTTGGCTGTGCCTGTATTTGCCAAGGAGATCAATGCTTTAGACTACCTTCATGTAAACAAGCTGAAGCTTGCATACAGGCTTATGAAATTAAAATGTAGCTCCTTCATACGTACTCAAATGATCGATGCTAGATCGAGGTCCGGTCTGCTTATTCAAGGTGAACACTGAAGATCTTGTGACATTATTTTAAAAGGGAGTTACTTCCAGTATCTTGGCCAGGGATCCTCTTGATGGGTTCTCTCATTGTGGGACTTTTATGTGCACAAATTATCGGGCCAGCAATTGGTGTTTTGTTGTGATCACTCACTATTTCGGAATTTTTTTTTTCCTTTTGCTGTCCATTCTCCTAAAATGCTCTGGTTGGAGATTTATGGCAGTCCCCAATCTGCAAGTGAGCTCGTGATTATAATTCAGTTGCTCTCTAACTAAAAATGGCCCACATCAACTTGCAATTCATTGTCTCACATGGCCTGGTCATGACCTGTTGGAAATAATGTGAATTCAAACTCCTTATGAAGTTACGCTCATTCCGTCCGAAAGAAACCGCTTTCTTCTGCTGACTCTTAAGTCAGTTGAATGAATCTGAATCCATCTGTTAACTGTTATCAGAGTTCAAACATCACTGACTGCCAGTTTATGATGAATTAATATTTGTTCTTGTTTTGCACTACTCGTATGGCAAAGGGTCCTTGTGCTATGCTTGAGATAACTGCTGGTTCTTCCTGTGATTGATTGCTCTAACTAGTTCAATTGGATTGTGGGCAGAAGGTTCTAATTATTGAGATTCAACAAAGTTACTGTCCTGTTTAAATGAGGGGTTTCAAAACACAAGTTGTATTCGTGTGACATCTTTACAATAATGTAAACTGGAATAAACTTTGTGTTCTGGGTACTGGTGTAATTAAAACCTGGTTAATTTATAACCACTTTCTGCTGTAAACTTGTTTTTCTTCTTGCCCCTCAGATTGCCTACCAATGTTAGAACTGTTCCCTTATGCATCACTCTGCTGATTAGCTTGTGTGTTCACATGGTTTGTGTTCAGGGTACATTTCCTGATGTACCTCATTAGATTTTTAAGTCCAAAAGGATATGATCATTCGAAGAATTCTGAAAGTATCAGATATGATTTTTGCTCTCTCTTGTTTTCCAACGTTTTGCCTTGTTTTACACTGCACTGGGTCTGGCTACTAGAGACCACCTTGAGAAGATTTTGGCAGTGTTAAAATGCATGAATATAAACTAATTTCGTCTTCACTTTAAAAAAACGGTTTTCGGATTCTTGTCTACTGCTCACTGCTCCATTAGCAGCTGAGCTTTCAGCCAATATACCCTCACTCTCTCATCACTCTCCTAAAATTCTGTTGCCCTTTTGTCGTCTTTCACTGCTTCAAAATCTTTTTTAAAAAACACTCCTTAGTTTTGCCTTTGGTGAACACCCTCAGACTCCACCCTCTCCTGTTTGCTTGGTTTCCCATTGTCTTTAAATTCAAGCGGCCCATCCTTCAGGTAAGTTCCTGCTAGTAGTTTTTTTCTGGCAGCCCATGCAATCGACTATTCCTGAATTTGAAATGCCGGTTATTTTCCTAACTCTCAAACCCTTGAAAAAAGACCAGTGCAATTCAGCAGGAAATCTAAATCTGACTAGTCATCCCTTTACTCTTTAGAAGCGATGCCGGATCACATTTACTTGGATAAACTGGGCACAGATCCTATTATTAGTCTGGAAAGTATCCAACCTGCTGTGTGTAGCAATGTTTTTCCAGTGTTGAGATAAACTAAAGCCCATTGCTCTTCCTATAAGCAACTGGTGTAACATTGCTGCATTATGTGCCGTACGTGATGACTACCCAGAGCGTTTTGCAAATGTTCTAAACTTAAGGATCCCATTTCTAAAGCTGGAGCATGAGCAGGGTTTTTTGGTGGAATATTTTCCAGCTCTGATCCAAATTAAAAGGATTATGTTACCAGAATGACAAATGAATCACTATGAGAGGATTTAATACTTTTATTTGAGGACACTGCTGCCTGGTGTAAGCATGAACACTGGAATATGATGGATCTTTTAAAGTTGTAGAAATTTGGCACATAATGCCTGTATTGTGCTTGCTTCCCTGCTACTCAAGCAGAACCGTAAGGTTGTACTTGTCCTGCTCCCCATTTTTCAGGTTGGGACATGATCTCACAATCAGAAGTGCTGTGTTGTTGGGAGGAAAGGGAAGAGTGGAAGTTGCTTACTGCAACTTGGAGAATCAGTGCACAATTTTGTCTCATTCCCACCTGAATTTGTAAAGTGTTACCAGTTCGGCAAGGCTCGAATGTTTGTAAAAATATCGAAGCCGTAAATCATGGAAGCGATTTATTTTGGGTTAACTAAGTCTATTAAGGTTTAAACACAAAATAAACTCAAAATATCACCTGATTCTAGAGGAGCACTGGGTTTCCTTTGTGTTTTTAAGTAGAACTTTACAGGTGATTGAACTGCTGAAGAGCTTTATTAACACTCATAAGGCGGGCCTGGAATGTGAAATAACTGAAACAACCTGAATTATGTGGGTAGGAGGTGAAGAGAAGGTGTATTGGGGGTGGGGTGGGGTTTGATAGTGAGAATATGTGTAGGAGAGAAGACTCAGCTTTGAGGAGGCTCAGTCTGCTCTTGGACCTGATACTGTACTCAGGACGGCAAGTGTTTGAGCACCAACTCCCACCAGGTCATGAGTTCTGATCTTGTGACTGACTTTGTTTAAGTTGATGGTGGTTATGTTGTACCAGATGGTACTGATAAAGCAGTCAGGAGGTATTTTGCCTTGAAGAAAACTGGTCGGGGCCAAGGGGAAGGGGAGAGTTTGCAATGCCCACATTTTCCCCTCTTGTTTGAATTGCCCACATTTTGCGTTGGAGATTGTGGTGAGAGGCTTAATAATTATTGTTAATCATAATTATCCTTGCATTTTTGAATAGCGGCTTATTACGTCGGAAGGACGTCTCAAAGCACTTCACTGTAAAATGGAGTGACTATTTCTACGCAAACACAGCAGTGCAATTGTCCCACAGTCAGCCATGGAGTTAAAGACCAATTTTATTTGGGGGTTTATTGGCCAAGACATCGAGAGAAATTCCCTTCTCTTTTCAAATAGCACCATGGGATCTTTAATGTCCACCCGAACAAACAGATGTGGCCAACAAAGTTGGTTGAGGCTGTGTATAATAATAATCCTTGCAATTTGATATAGTGCTTTTCACGTCTTCTAGACGTCTTAAAGCGCTTCACAGAATACACTGTAAACTGTAAAGTGAATTTGTGGGTGAAACGTGGCAGCCAATTGCGCACAGCAGTGCCCCACAAACAGTCATGGATTGAGTGACTAAATTATTATTCTTTTTCTTGAGGGATTATTATCGGGCGTGTGGAGTAAGGAAACTTGTCCAAGGTTTCACCTGCCCAGGTCTCTCGCTTGCAAGGCGAGTGCTCTAACCACTGAGCTACAGGACTCCATGGATAGAGAAGAAATTGTAATATTGGTAGAAATTTTACTTATGTTTATTTTACATACTCAATTTACATTTACTTAATTTTTCTGCATTGTATACTTGCGTGTTGTACTTTGAATTAGTAGTTTACTTACTCAGAAAATAAGGGGTTAGAGGAAACGCACATTTATGAATTACATCAGACTTAATAACGGAGCACGGTTGACAGTTCTGCTGGCTGAGTCCTGATTTTATGAGTGACTAAATCTATGACCTAAATCATCAAGTGCTCTCAGCTGAAGACTGATGGATGCTATAAAATAAGAAGTGCATTTTGGAAGATTACGTGGCGTGGGAACCATTTCTTACTGTAGATTTGCGATGATGTGTTTAGGTTTTCAACTCTGGTTACAGTAGAAATATTCCACACGCCGTTAGACAATTAAGTATTAAAGTAGTGCAGTGTGTCCAGATGCTGACATTTTACCTCTGACCTGGGCTTTAATACATTTCCAGGCAGCAACTTTGTGTGGTAAGTAACGAAAACAAATTGAATAAATTCTCCCACAAACAGCTATCTAGTGAATGAGCAATTTTATTTGGGGATTGTTGGCCAGGACACTGGGAGAAACTCCCTTCTCTCTTCAAATAGTACTGGTGGATTTTTAATGTCCAATTTGAACAAGCAGACAGGGTATCAGTTTAATTTCTCATCCGAAGGACGGCCCCTCCAACAATGCAGCAATCCCCAGCAATGGATTGGAATATCATCTCAAACGACGTGCTGTTCAAGTCCTGACATGGGGGCTTGAACCCACAATCTTCTGACTCAGAGGCGAGAGTGGTACCAACTGACATTTTTTTTGTGTGTGTGGTGAACAGGGTTTTTCCCACTGTGCAGAATTAAACCAAATCCTGTTCCAAATGTTGGAACTTGAACTGGTTCCCAGGCAACCTTTCATTCCAAACCAAAAGCGGGGCCCCTAACCACCAAGAGACAGCACCGGCCTGATTCATTGCACCAGAACATCATGAGCGAGTGAATTGGCCTGATGGCCTCGCTGACCAGGCAAGCCTGGGCCAAGCCTGGTGTTCAAGAGCTCAAGGTAGTTCTGTATTATGTGTATTTTTAATCAAGGCAGACATTTTATCTCTGTTAAACTGAGCGCAAAGTCTTGACATTAGGCTTGAACCCAACAATATTCTCGTTCAGAGGCAAAAGTGCTACCAACTGCCCCCTTGGCAAGTTCTAATTCATCCATGTGCATGTGCCCCCTATTCCTACCACTTGTATCCAGTACCTTCAAGACGCTATCCTGCACTATTTTGAGTGAAGGCCGCTATATAAATGCAAGTTGTTGTTGTACGTTTATCTGTATTGAACTTCATTTGGCATTCATTTTCCGATTCATTTAAAACAATAATAAATTGGTCATTTTCAATCTACGACCGTGTGTGGGACATTGCTGTGCGCAATTGGCTGCCGCGTTCGCCCAACAAATATACAGTCAATTCACTTTACAGTGTGTTCTGTGAAGCGCTTTGGGACGTCCTCCCAACGTGAAAAGCGCTATATCAAATGCAAGGATTATTATTATTATTATACCTTATCAAGTTCTATTTGTCGGACCTTTGATGCCTGCTTTGATTCTGCAGTTCCCTCCCATTCTGGTGTCACCTGCAAACTTACAACAACAACACAACATTATATTTGTAAAGTGCCTGTCACATCGGGAGGATGTCCCAAGGCGCTGGACAGACAGAGTTATGGATGCAGACTGAGGGTCGGGTGGGGAAGGCAGGGGGAGGGAAGCAGGGAGATCGAAAGCAAGAAAGGAGGGTCTTGAGGTGGGTCTTGAAGGTGGCGAGGGAGGGGCCGAGACGGAGGGACTGCAGGATGGAGTTCCAGAGGGTGGGTCCAGAGTGGCGATAGTGGGGCGGGCAAGGCGGGGGACGTGAAGCAGGCCAGAGCCCGCTGAGCAGAGGGAGTGAGCAGGATGGTTAGGAGGTTGGGAGGTAGGAGGGAGCAAGACCATGGAGAGCTTTGAAGGTGAGGACCAGGATCTTGAATTGTATCCTCTGTGTGATGGGAAGCCAGTGGAGTTGGGCAAGGATGGGGATGATAGGGTCACGGAGCCTAGTGCGGAGAGGACACGGGCTGCAGAGTTTCCAAACTTAGCAGTTTACATGCTTCAGAAACTACACATTGAAGATATTGAGAGTTCACAATAGGATTCACTAATAGTAACTTAGTCATACGCAGTCACTGGTGATCACGCCTTTGGCACAGGAATCCCACAAATTATTATAAATTGACTGTGATATATTGCGGCTCATAAGCAGGATTCCCATTTAGTGTCTGAGTCTCTATTAGTGACTAATTATTATCATCAATATTTTAAATCCCATTATACTGAGTGCTTTCAGAACTGTATAAACTGATGAGATGTTCCCTGCCACCAATGCAAGACATAGTTATTTGTATCTGATTTAAGTTTCCCCCCAAGCAAAACACTAAAAAAAACAAATAAATAAATACATGAATTCAGTTCCCTCTTTAAACTTTGTGATTTTATTGCAGGGAGGGAGGGGGGAAGGGGATTGAGTTATTGCTATCCTAAATGTTTGCTTTGCACTTTTGATTGGAGTACTCACTTCCGTAACATCGCCCGACTCCCCCACTACCTCACCCCTCAGGCCGCTGAAACTCTTGTTCATGCCTTCATCACCTCCAGGCTCGACTATGCAAACGCTCTGCTTGTCGGCCTTCCTCCCTCCACAGGCTGCAGATAATCCAGAACTCTGCAGCCCGTGTCCTCTCCCGCACCAAACTCTGTGACCCCATTCTCGCCCGACACCATTGGCTTCCTATCCTTCAGAGGATCCAGTTCAAGATCCTGGTCCTCACATACAAAGCCCTCCATGGCCTCGCCCCACCTTTCTTCTGCGACCTCCTAACCCCCTACCAACCTGCCCACTCCCTCCGCTCAGCCGGCTCTGGCTGCTCCACATCCCCTGACCCATCCGCCCCACCATTGGCGGGAGAGCCTTCAGCCACTCTGCCCCCAACCTCTGGAATTCCATTGCCCAATTACTCCGCCTCACCCCCTCCTTAGCCTCCTTCAAGTCCCGCCTCAAGACCCTCCTCTTTGACCACGCCATCGGCCACCCCCCTTCCCCTCCCCTCCCTTCCGCCCCCAGCTCAGGTCTGAAATGCTGTACACTGTCCAGCGCCTTGGGACGTCCTCCCGATGTGAAAGGCGCTATACAAATGTAATCTTAATAATAATAATCCTTGCATTTGATATAATGCTTTTCAAGTCTTCTAGACGTCTCAAAGCGCTTCACAGAATATACTGTAAAGTAAATTGACCGCATATTTTGTGGGCGAAACGCGGCAGCCAATTGCGGACAACAGTGTCCCACAAACAGTCATGGATTGAAAATGACCAATTTATTATTGTTTTGTTTTGGAGGTATTATTAGGCGTAATCGTGTTGTTGTTGAGTAATTTACACTGTCGGCACAAACTCTTCCCTCTCAAATATAATACTGTATATAACATGCAATTCTGTCCATCCAATGACATAAGGAGTGACGAAATAATCAAGGGCACTAGTTTATATACATTAATAATAATCCTTGCACTTGCTCTAGTACCTTATCATGTCTCACAGAGTATACTGTAAAGCGTAGTGACGGTGTATTTTGTGGGCGAAACTCGGCAGACAATTGCGCACAGCAGTGTCCTGTAAACAGTCGTGGATTGAGTGACCAAATATATTGTATATATTGTAAATATATATTGCCATGTATGTGTGTATGTATATATATATATATTATCATATATAGAGATGATATATTGCATACAATATATATTGCTGTGTGTGTATATATATATTACTATATAAAAATATATATTATATACAATATATATTGCTGTGCGTGAGTACATACATATAATTACTATATATAGAAATGATATATTACATACAATAATGTATTGCTGGTGTATAGTTTTCAATTTACACCGTTGTGTTGTTTTTAGTGAAGCACTTTGAGAGAGGAAAGGGAAGAAGTAGTATTTTCCAGTTATTTATTGTAATATATAATTTATTATTATATATTTATTGCCTGAAATGAACGTGATCCATCGTTTGCCATTCTACGCCCCTCCTGTTGTTTACCCACACACTGCAGTGGGGTCATTTCATGGTGATTTCAGGGTGTTTCACCTTGTGGGTGAGATCTGTGCCCCCCCACCCTCAGTCACCCTCACAGTCACCCCCACCCTCACCCTCCAGCCTCACTCCCACCCTCACAGTCACCCTCACAGTCACCCCCACCCTCACCCTCACAGTCAGCCTCACTCCCACCCTCACAGTCACCCTCACAGTCACCCCCACCCTCACCCTCCAGCCTCACTCCCACCCTCACAGTCACCCCCACCCTCAGCCTCACTCCCCCCCTCCCCCCACTCTCACCCCCCCCCCCCCTCACCCTCCAGCCTCACTCTCACCCTCCAGCCTCAGCAGCCCCACCCTCACCCCCCCCCACACCCCCACTCCACCCCACCCTCACCCCCAGCAGCCCCACCCTCACCCCCCACCCCCAGCCTCACCCCCCCACTCCACCCCACCCTCACTCCCAACCCCCAGCCTCACTCCCACCCTCACCCCCCCCTCACTCCCCCACCCTCACCCCCCCCCTCACCCTCCAGCCTCACTCTCACCCTCCAGCCTCACCCCCACCCTCCAGCCTCAGCAGCCTCACCCTCACCCCCCCCCACTCCACCCCACTCTCACCCCCCCCCCCCCAGCCTCACTCCCCCCTCACCCCCCCTCTGGGCTGGAGACAGAGGGGCTGTGAATGACGATGTATTTCATGTTTTGATCTCTATTCATATTTCTAAAAAAAACTATTTGGATTTTTTTCTTTCGCTTCTAACCCAATGGGGAGGGGTTTGGTTGGAGGTCATGTGATTAGAAACGTGGAGGAGAGAGGAAAAAAAGTCGATTCCAAAGTTGGGGAAAAGTTTTCCAGAGCTCTGTGTGTGTGAGAGAGAGAGAGAGGAGGAGGGAGAGAGAGAGGGAGAGGGGGAGAGAGAGAGAGAGAGAGAGGGGGGGGGAGAGGGGGAGAGAGAGAGGGAGAGAGGGAGAGAGGGAGGGAGAGAGAGAGGGGGGGGGAGAGGGGGAGAGAGAGAGAGAGAGAGGGAGGGGGAGAGGGGAGAGAGAGAGAGGGGGGGAGAGAGAGAGGGGAGAGAGGAGAGGAGAGGGGGGAGAGAGGGGAGAGAGAGAGGGGGGGGAGAGAGAGAGAGAGAGGGGGGAGAGAGAGGAGAGGGGGAGAGAGAGAGAGAGGGGGAGAGGGGAGAGAGAGAGGGGGAGAGAGAGAGAGAGGAGAGGGAGGGAGAGAGAGGGCAGAGAAGGAGGAATCGGTCAGAAGTTTGAGATCAGAGACAAAAACAACCGTCAGCACAAACCACAGAGAGTGAGTGAGAGAGTGAGTGAGTGAGTGAGTGAGAGAGTGAGTGAGTGCTGAGGAGGTCCCTCGGGCTCTGGGAACCACAGCAGTGAATGTGATGGCGACGGAGCAGAAACCGTCCAAACGGAGAGTCAGCGACAGTCCGAGTAAGTGAGAGCCGCAGAGCCGAGTCTGTCTGTCTGGTCAGTGTCTGTCTGTCTGGTCAGTGTCTGTCTGTCTGGTCAGTGTCTGTCTGTCTGGTCAGTGTCTGTCTGTCTGGTCAGTGTCTGTCTGTCTGGTCAGTGTCTGTCTGTCTGTCTGGTCAGTGTCTGTCTGTCTGTCTGTCTGGTCAGTGTCTGTCTGTCTGGTCAGTGTCTGTCTGTCTGGTCAGTGTCTGTCTGGTCAGTGTCTGTCTGGTCAGTGTCTGTGGTCGCCCCCACATCCCGAGGAAAAGTTTCACTCCCATCGCATGAAGGGCAGTGGGAACCGCTGTTTGAGGAGCGCCACAGGTTTCAGGAGGAATTGGGAATTGGCTGCGGTTTCAGTGCCATTACCTTTCGGACATTACTTTGGGAAACACTGTCTCCTCTCTCTCCCTCTCCCCCCCCCCTCCCTCTCCCCCTCCCCCTCTCCTCTCCCCCTCCCTCTCTCTCCCCCTCCCTCCTCTCTTACCCTCCCTCTCTCCCCTTCCCCTCCCCTCTCTCTCCCCCTCCCCTCCCTCTCTCCCCCTCCCCTCCCTCTCCCCCTCCCCTCCCTCTCCCCCTCCCCCTCTCCCCTCCCTCTCTCCCCCTTCTTCCCCCTCTCCCCCCTTCTCCCCCTCCCTCCCCCCTCCCCCTCTCCCCTCCCTCTCTCCCCTCCCCCTCCCCCTCCCTCTCTCCCCCTCCCCCTCTCCCCTCCCTCTCCCCCCCTCCCCTCCCCTCCTCTCCCCCTCCCCCTCTCCCCTCCCTCTCCCCCTCCCCTCTCCCCTCCCCTCCCCCCCTCCCCCTCCCTCTCCCCTCCCCTCCCCACTCTCCCCTCCCCCACTCTCCCCTCCCCTCCCCTCCTCTCCTCTCCCCCTCTTCCTCTCCCCACATTGAGTCCATGTAATGTTGATTTATACGACACTTATTTTTTTTTTACCCGATCGATTCTTCACGCGCCTATAAACCCGCAATTATTGAAAAGGTGGGGGGAAAACTTTTTTTTTGCGGCTTTTAAAAGCGATTCGATTTGTCGGGGCTGAAGTGGGGGGGAAGGGGGGGAATCGGGGGGGAGGTGGGGGACGGGGGGGAGGAGCAACAAATCCTAATAACAACAACAACAAACAACAACAACAACAACAAACAGGGAGACCAGGCAAGGAGGTCACGGTGTTAATCCTCTGCCCCCCCCAACACCGGACGCCAACCGAATCACTGCTGGTTTTAATAAGGTGCCATTTATAAGTTGGAGAAAGTTATCCGCCGTCCCAGCCCCGCAGGGACCTGCTGCTGACTGTCATGGCTTATCTCATGGCAACGATTGACATTCCCAGCGGACGTAGACATGTGCAAAGGAAGGCCTCCCCGGAATGCTGGAGAAGCAGGACGGCTTTTATCGGCTTAAAAAATAGACTTAACGAATGTGGGGTGTGACCCCCACACCCCCCTTTCAGGGGGACTATCCGAAGTGCACACGTTGAACCTTCTCCGGGGACGCGTGCGAATCGGGACCCTATTCAATGCATTCACTGTGCAGACGGCGGCCTCTCCAGGACCTGGGATTAAAAATACACGTCCTCTCACTTGTTTTTTTTCTCTCGCTCTCTCTCTCGGCTTTTTTTAAAAAAAAGTATAAATAAAATCGATGTCCAGCAGAGGGGGTAGTGCCTTGTTGTTCCTCCACAGTGAACGTCCTGGAACCCGCCTCTCAATAAACTCCCGGCGGCAGATGGTTTGCTGCTCTTTCTTAAACACGTTTCTTAACAGTGCAGGATTTATAATAAACATAATCCTGGAATTTGAGAGAGCGCATCTTCGAGATGTCTCAAAATGGCTTCACAGAATATACCATAAAGTGAATTGTATATTTTGTGGGGTAAAATGCAGCAGCCAAATGCACTTTAAATGATAATAATAATCCTTGCGTTTGATATAGCGCTTCTAGATGTCTCAAAGCGCTTCACAGAATACACTGTAAAGTGAATTGGCTGTATATTTGAGGGCGAAATGTGGCAGCCAAATGCACACGGCAGTGTCCCGCAAACAGTGACCAATTTATTATTATTTTCTTTTCTTGAGGGATTATTATCAGGCGTGTGGAGTAAGGAAACTTGTCCAAGGTTTCACCCTGCCGGGAATCGAACCCAGGTCTCTCGCTTGCAAAGCGAGCACTCTCTAACCACTGAGCTACAGGACTTATTTAAATCAATCAATAAATTATTGATTTAAATAAATGAATAAATGTGTTTTTGGAGTTTCTAAAACGTCGACGAGCTGAAGAATTTGAAATTTGATAATTACGCCTTTTGTTAGGATGCACAAAACAATTACTGCCCATTTCTGCATGATTGTCCTTTGTAATAACGCTGAGTTAAAATTCTGAAATTAACAGTGCACTCACTGACTGCTGAAGTTGCCCTGAAGGACATGTTGCATGAATGAGCATCCGTCATAATTCAATGCAGAGTCTGAAATCTTACTCTGGAGCAGGAGCTGTGATCAGGGTGATTGGTTGGGATAAGGTGTAAAAGAATTTCATGATCGAGAATATAAGGAAATAATCATAATCCTTGCATTTGATTTAGCCGTGTGTCAGGATAGTGACTGGCTCAGTTGACAACACGATCACCTCTTAATTTGGGTCTTGTTGAGCTCACAGTCTAGACCGCGTGTTGCATTGTCAGAGGTGCCGTCCTTCAGATTAGACACTAACAGAGATCCCGTCTACTGGTCAGGTCCATGTCAAAGATCCATGACTCTTCGAAAAGAGAAAGGAGTTTCTCCCATTGATCCTGGCCAACAATCTCAAGATAAAATTGGTCATGCACTTCATAGCTGATTGTGGGATATTGCTAAGATGGATGCTCTGTTTGTTCACAAAATCCACATTCACTACATCATGGAGTCCTGTAGCTCAATGGTTGGAGCACTAGCCCTGCAAGTGAGAGATCTGGGTTCGATTCCCGGCAGGGTGACACCTTGGGCAAGTTTCCTTACTCCACAAGCCTGATAATAATCCCTCAAGAAAAAAAAGCCAATGATAATTTGGTCATTCAATCCACGACTGTTTGTGGGACACTGATGTGCGCATTTGGCTGCCACGTTTTGTCCACAAATATACAGTCAATTCACTTTACAGTATATTCTGTGAAGACGTGAAACGCACTATATCAAATTCAATGATGATTATTATTATTACTTAACAGATATTGTTGATGTATTTCACTGATGTAGTGTGTCAGCCTGGCTTGATTGGTAGCACTCTCACCTCTGAATCAGAAGGTGGTGAGTTCAAGCCCCACGTTGGGACTTCGAACCCATACAATCTAAGATGGCACTCCAATACAGTGCTGGAGATGTGTTGCATTGTTGGAAGTTCTGTCCTTTTGATGACACGTTAAACTGAGGTCCCACCTGCCTGTTCAGGTGAATGTTAAAGATTCCATGGCACTCGTTGAAAAGAGTTTCTCCGAGTGTCTTCATGCGAGTAGTGCTTAACAGTGATGTGGCTCGATGCTGAGCTGAAAAGACATGGGAGGTGATTGTAGGTGTGGTCAATGGGGGAAAGTCTTGGGTGTGATTTGAAGATGGTAAAGAGTGGGAAAGACGTAGAGATTGAAGCAGGGAGTTCCAGAGATTTGGGGCGTCGTGGCTGAAAGCACGGTCGGCAATAGTGGAGTGGAGGGGCCGAGGAATCGGCTGAAGACAAGAGCCGACTGAGCGAAGGCAGGTAGTGGAGAAGTCTGTGTGCAGATTGGAGAGGAAGGGAGATGCCCGGACATGAAGAGATTTGAAAGCGACAATGAGGATCTTGAAATTGATCCGTTGTGCAATAGGAGCTAGTGAAGCCTGGCAAGGACTTGGGTGGGGGGGTCTATCTGTGACCAGGGCTCCCTCTGCCTCCTTGTCCTCTTGGACCTCTCTGCCACGTTCGACACAGTCGATCACGCCATCCTCCTCCACCGCCTTTCCTCCGTCATCCACCTCAGTGGGACCGCACTCGCCTGGTTCGAGTCCTACCTCACAAACTGCCAGCAGTACATCTGCATAAACGGCTTCTCCTCCCACTCTCACCCGGTTACCTGCGAGGTACCCCAAGGAAACTTCCTTCAGCTGAACGTTGACAAGATGGAAGCCATACTTTTTGGCTCTCGTCAACGTCTAAAATCTCACGGTTCTCACCTCCTCCACCTACCCGACCTCCCCCTAAAACTCTCCGAACCTGTATGCAACCTAGCATCAGGTTCAACCTTCAATTATCCTTCCTCTCCCACATCCGGTCCCTCACCAGCACCGCTTTCTTCCACCTCCACATCGGCCGTCTCCGCCAGTACCTCTCCCCAAAAGCCGCTGAAACTCCGGTCCATGCCTTTGTCACCTCCCGGCCGGACTATTCAAATGCCCTCCTCGCCGGTCTCCCATCCACTACCATCCATAAAATCCAACTCATTCAGAACTCTGCCGCCCGCATTCTCACCCGCACGAAACTCCGCTCCCCGATCCCCCCAGTCCTGGCCAGACTGCACTGGCTGCCTATCCCAGAGAGGATCGATTTCAAGATCCTCACCTTCGTATTCAAGTCCCTGCACTCCTCTGCACCCCCCTACCTCTCTGACCTCTCTCCTCAGCACAGTACCGGTTGCCTTCGTTCCTCCGGGTCTGGCTTCCTCCTTGTCCCCCGATTCCTCCGCTCCACCCTCGGTGGCCGTGCCTTCAGCCACTACGCCCCGAGGCTCTGGAACTCCCTTCCTCACTCCCTTCGTCTCGCTCCCTCCCTTCCCACTTTCAGGTCTCTGCTGAAGACCTTTCTTTTCAACCGTTCCTTTGGTCACCTTCCTCCCCCTGGTTCGGACATGGGATCCGTTACTGTAAAGCGCTCTGAGACGCTGTCCGGTGAGGAGGGCGCTATATAAATCCAAGTTGTTGTTGTTGGGGAGGATGAGGGGCCTAGTATGCGTGAGGTTACAGACAGCAGAGGTTTTCATCAATTGGATCTTGTTTATACACTAAACCTCACATAATCACACGTTTGTGAGCGTACATTTAATATGACTTAAGCAAATTAGGAGTTATGTAAAATTTGAACAAGTTATATCATATATAAATTGTGTAAAGTTATGTATAAGTCTGATCTTATATGACTCACACATAACATACACAAGCACTGAACTGATGACATTTAGGCAAGGTTACAAATGGAAATTTTCAGATGCATAATTCTCCAGAACAAACATTTCCATGTGCTTTTCAAACTGTTTTATTATCAGTAAATGTTTTATTTGAATGTTCATGTTGCCTTCCTTGATTTTATTGTATTTTTCTTGCATACAAATGTGTGAATTATTTAAGAGTTGAAGTGGGTGTGTTAAGAGTCCTACTTAATTGCCTTGGTTATAAAGAGAGATATGTGTAGTCTCATACTTTACACTGCTGTCAGTTGGAGGTATATGATCAGACATATGCGAGTTTTACTCTACTGGAGTTGGAGAGACCGGCAAACAGATGCTTTTGAAAAATTGAGGCGATATATGATGAAAGCTTGAATGAGGGTTTCAGCAGTGTTTGAAAAGAAGGTTGATAAAATAAAATTGGCCATTCACTTCATGGTTGTTTGTGGAACATTGTTGTGTGCAAATTGTCTGCTGTGTTTGCCCACAAAATATGTTATCACTGCAATTTACAGTATGCCCTGTAAAGCATTTTGGGACATCCTGCCGATGTGAAAGGTGCTATACCAAATGTAAGTATTATTATCATTATTACAAGACACCATATCAAATACAAGGATTGTTCTTATTATTAACAATAAGAACCGTCTAGATAAATCAGTCATTCATCTCATGGCTCATGCAGTCACATTTAGCTACAAAAAAACATTTGTAAACCTTAGAAATCCTTGCATTTAATCGCTTCTTCGAGGTGTCTAAAGCGCTTCACAGAATATACTGTAAAGTGAATTGACTGTATTTTGTGGGTGAAACACGGCGGCCAATCGCACACGGCAGTGTCCCACTTACTGCTCGGTAAACAGAGGCATGAGGAGTAAAGAAACTTGCCCAAGGTTTTGCCCTGCCTGGGAATCGAACCCACGAGCGAGGCGAGTGCTCTATCCACTGAGCTACAGGACTCCACAATTATCGTTTTGTGGCATTTGGATGTTAGACTGAGCTTTACCCACTAGGTCTTTGGGGAAGCATTTTTATAGTTAATATTTGATAATGTCAGCAGGTTCTATTTCCCAGCTTTATCTCAGGGTCACTGAGGCCATTTGTCATGGCAATACTGCCACCTGGCTGAGGTCCGTTAACTGATCTCTTTTGCAAACAGTTGCAATGTAACCAACTAAGCCAATGGGAGCCTCAATTTAGATCTTTATAAGGGAGAATTAATCTCCTTCCACCCCTCGACGATCTGTGACATTACCCATAATAAGAGCTAATCTGTTACGTGAATAATTGAAGCAGTTTCTAATTATATACTATCTTCCATATGGGAGGGTTCAGTTCAGTTCAGTTTGACATAATCCACCCAAGGTTCTGTTTTCTGTGTCTGGTTGTCACTGCCCAGGGCCATGCGCTGTAACATGCACAGATCCCTCCTGGCCTGACTGGTGAACTGTCAGGGAAAGGAGGTGGGAATGGGAACAGGAATGTGCAGCTGTAGTTACCAAAGCTGCAGCGTATTCTGTATCACAGCCGAGACCCAGACCCTGGGCTGATATGCCGGTCATATCTTCAAACTGAAGGTCAGAGTTTTTGAAACCGCCAGATCGTGGCAATATTTTTAACTGGCTGGCGAAGTCGTCCTTTTTTGTTGTCCTGTCTAAGGACGACCTGATCCTCCTCAGACAGAAGAAATAGCGCCTTCTGATGTCAAACCATCACTTGGAGCTTTACAATAATTGCTGTCGGGTATAGTAACTCTTTTTGTAGGTAAACATAATAATTACTTTGCACACACAAAGGACCCACAAATAGGAGAGTGGAGAATGACCAATTTATTTGGAAATCAAAAGGCAAAATACTGCAGATGCTGGAAATCTGAAATAAAAACAGAAGTCGCTGGGAACACTCAGCGGGTCAGGCAGCATCTATGGAGAGACGAAAGTGAGTTAACGTTTCAGGTCGATTAACTTTTCTGAATCAAGAAATATTCAATCGAGAAACTTGTTACTTTTTGTCACCACTGCCATAGGACGGCAATTCAGTGCTTCTCCAACACTACAACACCACTACACTGGAGTTTCAGCCTGGACTGTGAGCTCATGTCAGGGTTGGTTTTCTGAGAGTAAGCGGGAGGTAATTGTTCGGATGGCGTAGAAGAATCTTTTCTTTATATCTAAACTGCGAGATGTTCGCAGTGGGTGTCTTAAAAATGGGAAAGTAATCCATTCCCAGCAGTATAATCCCTCTCCTTGAGCAGCGCAGAATTCACAATTCTGTGTTTTGTTAGGAAATGTATTTGAATAGGTAGTTTTGATCACTTGGGCTGAGTTGATCAGTGAGAGAGTTTCAACATGCTCAGGCGTGTGCTGGCTTGCTTGATCATGAGGTGCGTGGCATTCTCTCTGATTGTTTGTGCTGTTTTCCAGGGGCTGAGGACTGCCCCGCGCCCGAGCCTGGGGCTAAAGCAGAGTCCGAGGCACGCCGTGAGAGGGAGCTGCAGGAAGCTCGCCTTGCGGCCAAGGCTAAGAGGAAGCATCGGAAGAGCTCGTCTCGGGATTCGGATCGGGAATCTGGACGGGAGTCCTTGTCTGAGAATACAGATGGCACCGTCTCAAAAGACAAAATGGGAGATAAAAAATCCCGATCTGGAAAGGGCCGTGGGCTTCCGAAAAAAGGTAATTCCGTTGGGAACCCACAACATGTGAAATCCACTGTAGGTCACACACTGTGAGCAAAGGTCACACAAGACTGTATCTGTATCAGGCAACTATGAACTGAACCGTAGCTTGGTTCAAAGGTGAGACACACTCATCTCTAGGTAAAAAGATTGTGGGTTCCATACAACAACAACAACAAGATTGCATTTATAGAGCGCCTTTCACGTCGGGAGGACGTCCCAAAGTGCTGAAAGTCTAGGCCGACCCTCCAGGGCAGAACTTGATTCTGCTACATTATTGGAGTTGCCACCTTTCGGATGAGATGTGAAACTGAGGACCCCTTTGCACAATGTTTAATTGGATGTCAAAGATCCCATGACAAAAGAGAAAGGAATTTTTCGAGTGTTCTGGACAACAATCTTCTTGAGGATCACCTAATCTTGGATTCAGATCAGCTCACATTCTCTGAATTGACCCCCGTCCAAGAGGTGATCGATTTCAAGATCTCACTCGTTTTCAAATCATTTTATACCCTCGCACCTCCCTCCCTATCCAACCTGCTTACCCCCCACTCCAACACCTCCACTTGACTGGCTCTGGCCTCCTGCATGTCCCTCATGTCCTCCGCTCCACCATCAGCGGTCGTGCCTTCAGCCACTACGCCCTGAAACTCTGGAAGTCTCTCTCTGAATCCCTTTACCTTGCCCCCTCCCTCCCCACCTTCAAATCCTGCCTAAAGACCTTCCTTTATGACTGTGCTTACGGTCACCTCCCCACCTCCATCTCCCTATGGCTCATTGACAGACCCCACCCTGGGTGAAAGGAGCTATATAAATGCAAGTTGTTGTTATCTCCGTCTCCTTTCTGTTCACTGTAAGGACCCTATACTTGGGTAGTTGTAGGTTGCAGTGGGTCTAACTGAATCACATTGCTGCCTAGAATTACACATAGAATGGCACTTAATTGCACTCGATAAATGTGATTTTGGTCACTTCCCCTCTCTCTCAGGCTCGATGTCAAACTCCACCATTGTTAAGTGCTTCGAGATGCTACCTCGCATGAAGGGAATTATATAAATGCAAGTTTTTGTTACTTTTGTCCAGGTTTTTTTTTCTCGCATTCAGTGTGCATAATAATAATTATCCACAGGGAGTAGGTCCCATCCTCTGGGGCAGTGATGTTTAGCAGATTCTTTTTTGGGGGCTGTGTGTGGAGCGGGGAGGGCGTCACTTCTAACACAATCCTGTCCTTGCCTGATGTCCTTGTGCTGGGGGAGGTGGGGGAAGAGCTGGATAGCTAATCCAGGGGACCTTGCACTAGCTGTAGGATCATTACCTCTGATTGTCTCACCTGATATCAGATAACAGCCAAACCAGGAATGGAAATTGGCTCAACAAGCACCTTCCCTCATGGTACATTCTTCACTGAGCCAGAGGCTACACACTCTTCCATCTGATTGAAATGATGTAGCTGTTACTTTGCACAACGTGTTGCAGGAATGTGTCATCATTACAGTTCAGAATTACAGCATCTTGTATATTATCATACAATATATTCTATGAAAAGCGCTATATCAAATGCAAGGATTATTATTATTATTATTATGAAGCGCTTTGAGACGTCTTGAAGAAGTGATAAGGTGCTACATCAAAGGCAAGGGTTATTATTATCATCATGTTACTTGGTCATGTAGTTTGCTGAATGACTTAATGAGAGGTTGTCCTGCTGTAAATGTGTTCCTGCAGGAGGTGCTGGTGGCAAAGGTGTGTGGGGGGCTCCTGTCGAGGTTTATGATGTCGAAGAGCCAGATATCCGGGATCCAAACTATGACGATGATAAACAGGTAATCTCTTCCCCCCCACCACTTCCTCCCCCACCTTCCGGTTCAGCGTGTGGTACTCCCGGAGCATGGGGTGAGGGTCTCACTGGGACTAGCTGCGTGTGGCGCTCCCATGGACTCTTGTCCCTTTTCCATGTTATATCTGAAAGCGATGCCCTGGATTTCAAAGTAACACTTTATATAATTCCAAATGGTCTTCTCTGAGGTGCTGTTTTCAAGGCGAAACTTAACTGGTTGCTCCTCATAGCTTGACCCGCTAACATTCAGATCAGCTTCGGTGCTCACCTCTGAAACCGACTCCGCTATTAGAGCTAAAAACAGAAGTCGCTGGGAACACTTAGCAGGTCAGGCAGCATCTATGGAGAGAGGAAAGTGAGTTAACATTTCAGGTCGATGACCTTTTGTCAGAACTGACTACTAGAGCTGTCTGGAAACCACCCATTACAGTGATCAACTGGAGTGCAGTTTGTATGGGGGGGAGGTTAGACAAGGGGATTAGTGGTATCCATTTTATTTATAAATGACAGATGCGATTTGACTGGAATATATTGTGTGCTTCTGCATTTTGTCATGGGTGGTGAAATGTACATTAGTCCTAAATTTAATCAAATTTTCATCAACAAGTAACTTCCATGATTTTGGTAAATTAAACGATTTCTTGTTGGGGAAGGGGAGAAGGAGAAGAATGGGATCTCTCTGGGATTGAGCTGGCTCTGAGCTGATATGTCTAGTGCAGGGCGTGTAGCTGAGATGTTCTTTGTAATGGACTTTGGTGACTGCTATCTGGGGAAAGCAGACCTGCAGTGCTCCAGTGCACTGTTAATGATTGACGATTCCTGGCTGATTAACAGGACATATCACTGGGGGATGGGATTATTCCCACTTGGCTGCTGATAACCTGTGAGCCAAGACTTCTAACAAGCTGAACAACCAGTGGGAAGCTCACCAATGCTTAGTACTGTATCTGGTTTAATTCCAACTATTCCACCAATGCACAATTTGGGTCCTAGTGGCTTTAACCTGTGTTCTCGGGGTACAGGTAAGCAGGGTAGGTTGTTCATTCTTTCATCCTTTCATCCCCTCTCAGGACGATAACTGGTACTGAAGATAATGAAGGACCATGTGAGCGTATTGTAATGACAGGACGTGTGTATTTTGGGGTTTGGAAGGACTAATGATGATTGTTTGATTTCAGGGGGAGACTGTGTTTGAGACCGTTGTTCCTGAATTGAATAAAGATGAGTTTGACAAAGCTGTGACATCGATCATTCAGGAGTACTTTGAGCATGGAGACACAAAGGAAGTGGCTGTAAGTTCCCCTTCTTTGCCACAATCTGAGCCCAGAATCTCATAGATAGAGCGAAGCTGGTTAAGAGTGAATCCAGACTCAGTTGGTCTTATTTGTTTAGCCAGCAAGTTGGCAGAGTGTTTCTTTTTCTTTGCTGTAAATTTCTATGGTTCTACTCAAAGGGAATGAAAGAGATACAATGAGAGAGACACACACACACACACAGATATCTTTGCTGCAGAATCAATTCAGATATTTAAGAGGGAGATAGATACAGAAAGCAACCGCATATATGTACAAAGGCATATTCATAGATATATAAAAAAGAATCTACATTGGTATGTGGATTTGCATGTAGGTAATAATAAATAATAATAGCAATAATCCTTGTATTTGATATAGCGCCTTATCACATCTTTGAGATGTCTCAAAGCGCTTCACAGAATATACTGTAAAGTGAAATAATACAATATATTTTATTTACTGTGAAGCGCTCTGAGACGCTGTCCGGCATGGAAGGCACTATATAAATCCAAGTTGTTGTTGTTGAATTGGCTGTATATTTGGTAGACGTGCTTGGGAAGTAAGAGATGGAGAGAAAAGGTGGGAAGATGGGATTGGAAAGATAAAACTGCCTTGAAATAATGCAACTACTGGTTCGATGTGTTAAATAGTGTTGAATGTTTGCAGCCCCGGTCGGTATGTGCCATTCCTTGATCTCAGTGCAGCTGCTGACCCACCCTGATGGTGTATTCAATGCTCTCTATTGCATTGCAGACCCTCCTGGGGGAGCTGAATCTGGGCAGCAAGACCAACGAGGTGCCGTTCCTGTCGGTGCTGATGTCGCTGGAGGGGAAGGCGAGTCACCGGGAGCTGATGTCACAGCTGCTGGCGGACCTGACGGGGCGACGCTTGAATGCAGAGCACGTGGCCACCGCCTTCGATAAACTCCTGCGCAATCTGCCTGACCTCATCCTGGACACGCCCGAGGCTCCCCAGGTACGTGACATTCTGTTCTCTACTAGGGTTCTTCAAGGAGAGGTGTTCCAGAGGAGCCTCAGGAGGCTGATTGCTGGAGTTAGTGGGATGAGCTATAAGGAATGAATGAATACACCAGGTGCTTCAGTTCAAAATCAAGGACATCTCAGCGGGAACCTTGTGGAGACCTATAAGAGCTAGTTTAGGACAGACAGCAGGAAGTATTTCTTTACACAGAGAGGAATTAACGTCTTAGCATAACATAACATGTTGGTGCAGGAGGAGACCATTCGGCCCTTCGAGCCTGCCCCGCCATTCAATCATGGCTGATCTTCTAATCTCAGTCTTATCAGTAAAGGAGGTTCAGACCAGGGGTGGGAGGTTAGCATCAAAACAAGAAGAACAAACGAGTTGTTGCCTTTGACTCTGCTTTAATTCCCTGTGAAATGCTTTGATCTTGTGCTGCAGATGCTGGGTCAGTTCGTAGCTCGAGCAGTCGCTGACCATGTCCTCACCACTGACTTCCTGGACAGCTATAAAGGGATGGTGGATTGTGAACACGCCCGGTAAGGTCGTGCACAGCGCAATGAGTCACGTGTCATTACAGCTTTGTGCATCTCCCTGTACCTCTGTCGTATGAGCCTGGGGTCCAGTGTGCCTTGCCCCCCCCACCCACCCCAACCAGCTGCTGATCACCCAACTCCCCCTCCTCTCCCCACTGCTGACCGACACAATCAATCAGTTGCTCTCCTCAGCTTCTGTCCTATCACCCTTAAAGCCCCTTTCATCACTCCCCTCCTCAAATACCCCACCCTTGATCCCTCTAACCTCACAAATTACCGACCCATTTAGAAAAATGGTCGCTTGGTGATGGCGTGCTGGTGCCTTTACATTTGCGTGTGTTACACTTTCATGGTTTGTGAAGGGAAGAGAGAAAGCCAATGAAAGAATCTTTCAATGCTTATGTTTATTCAGTGTTTGATTCAGTTGAAAGGAATCGTTTCTTCCCTGGTCTAATTCGTCCGATTGTTTTCCTCTTCCTTTACCTCCAGAAAGTATTTTGCATTCCTGCCCCCACCTTCCTAGTCTGATGAAGTACAAAGGCACTTGTACCTTCAGTTAGTCATTTTCATATGAAGCCCTGTAGCTCAGTGGTTAGAGCACTCACCTCGCAAGCGAGAGATCGATTCCCAGGCAAGGCTCCTGGTTCGATTCCGGGGCAGGGCAAAACGTTGGGCAAGTTTCCTTACTCCACACGTCTCTGTTTACCCAGCAGTAAGTACGAATGCAGCTCTTTATGTGATCTTAGACAGAGAGCGGTTTATTCTCTCCCTCCCCCTCCCAATGGCTGGTTACTGTAAACGGGACATTGTAAAACTGCAGCCCTGACCTCTGTCCTTTGCCTGGTCACTGACAGTGCAGCGCTGGACCGAGCAGCCCTGCTGCTGAGCATCAATCGAGGAGTCCGTCTGGACAGTGTCTGGGGAGTTGGAGGTGGACTCAGACCAGTCAAGCAGCTTGTTAAGGAGGTAAGGCAATGATTTGGAGCACTGATCTGATCCGATCCAGTACAGCCAGGCAAGCACACACCTACAATCCACTCTTTGTGGACTGCATTGTAAACTCAGCCCTGTTCCTGTTCTCCCACTCACCCCTTGCTCCCACCTCAATACTCTTTTTCCAAACAACACTAATGACACTGCTCCCATGTTTCAGGGGCTGCTCCCTGAGCAGTGAGACTAACCCGAGGTACTCTGGTTCCTCATTACAGTACAAACTACAATACAAAATTACCCTTGTACAGTGCCTTTCATGTCGGGAGGATGTCCCAGTCAGGGATTTGGACCCGAACTAGGGATTGGGATCAGGGAGGGTGGAGTTCAGGGAGGGTAGGAGGTTGGCCAAAGGATGGATTGAAAAGAAGGGTCTTGAGACATGCCTTGAAGGAGGTGAAGGGAGAGAGCGAGGCAAAGGGAATGTGGGATGGAGTTATAAAGGGTGGGGGCAGAGAGGCTGAAGGCCTGACCGCTGATTGTGGGGTGGGCCGGGTCAGGGACGTGGAGCAGGCCCTACAGAGCAAACAGGTTGACATGGATGAGTGCAACATTAACCATTGAACTGTGTTTCACAGATGAATCTTCTGCTGAAGGAGTACCTGCTGTCCACAGACACTGTCGAGGCTGAGCGGTGCCTCCAGGTCCTCGAGGTCCCACACTTCCATCATGAGCTCGTCTACGAGGTATATTGAGCTGCCCTTTTTCTTTCTTGCCTTGACTATTCAATCCTTCAAACACCAATAGCAAGAAGACTCATTCTGATGGCATTCCCATTACCCTTACAGCTTACCTCATAATATGTAATCATCCTTGCATTGATACAGCACCTTCTCATGTCGTTGAAGGGTCTTAAAGTGCTTCACGGGATAAAATGCACAATGTGTTGTATAATACAATACTTATTTTCATTTATATAGCCTTTTCACTTTGGGAGGATGTCCCAAGTGCAAGATGTTCCTCTCACTTCCCGATGGCTGACGTATTTTGTTGCTCTCAGGCTGTGCAGATGGTGCTCGAGTCTGTGAATGACGATGCTTCCGATCTGATCGCCAAACTTTTGAAGATCTTCTGGGAGTCAGGATTTGTGACCCTTGACCAGATGAACCGGGTGAGAGACAAAGCCCTTCCCCTCTAATGTGTCTCATGTAAATGCCTTGTTCGTATGTGATAAACTTTCGGTTCTTCTGAGGACTCAGTGGTTGGATGACTTGTATCCTTGAAGTTGGCACTGTTTTGGCTGTAGCAGAGAAGATTAAGAATCTAATAATAATGATAATACTTGCATTTGATATAGTGCTTTTCACGTCTTCTAGACGTCTCAAAGCACTTCACATCAAGGTTTTCTAAATCTTAATTGCTGTTTGATAGAGAGATTATAACAATCTCCAGCACAGTAGGTGGTGTTTGCTCTTTGCTGTATTCTCTAATACCCTTCCTCCACAACTATTGATTTACTGCCAAATGTTCCCAATCTAATCTATTCTGGCAGCCGCCACTCTAGCAAAGTATTCCCTGTTCAGATTCATCTAGACCAGTGGTTCTTAAAGAAATCGTGTTGGTGGTCACAATGCTAGTTTTTCCAAAAGACACTTAATCATAGGAAAAATAAAGGAAATCTAGACATGTGAACATCTCACATGGTTTTCATTTATTCCTGTACATTGGACATGCATTTGAGAGAACACTTTTTTGCACAAAACCTTGCCCAGACAGTAACAAAATTAGAACAACATAATAAATGAAAACCATTTCAGAAAAGGTGAACACACCAGTAGATAAAGGGGGTAATGGCAACATTAACAACTGCATCTTGAACTGTCTCAGACTACAGTACCCTTTTTCAACAAACCGAAGAGATATAAGAAGTTGGATGACCAAATCTGCATAGCGAAGGACAGTGAAACCACCATAATAGGCTTCAATCCTTCACTACACCCTCCATTACCATCGGCGCTCTGCAGACATAGAAACAATAACATTGCCGCGCCACTACTTTAAGCTTTTGATACGACTTGCAGCACTTGAGACGATTGTTGCAGTCTACGCGAATCACAGATCAGAATTATTGCTACAGTTGAAATTGGCTTTGTGGTTAAGAGCGATTACATGAGCAAACTTGAGTCACTGTAATAATAATCCTTGCATTTGATATAGCACTTTTCACGTCGGGAGGACGTCCCAAAGCGCTTCACAGAACACACTGTAAAGTGAATTGACTGTATATTTGTGGGCGAACGCGGCAGCCAATTGCGCACAGCAATGTCCCACAAACAGTCGTAGATTGAAAATGACCAATTTATTATTGTTTTTGGTTTTGGAGGGATTATTATTAGGCTCTGTGTGGAGTAAGGAAACTTGCCCAAGGTTTCGCCCTCTGCCTGGAATTGAACTCAGGTCTCTCACTTGCAAAGCGAGTGCTCTAACCACTGAGCTACAGGACTCCACTGTATTGACGCTAAAGCTCACACATACATATACGCTCATACACATTCACTCACACACACTCATACTCACACACATACACACACTCACTCATATACACACGTACACACACATTCAAGACATTCATGCATACACACACTCATACACACACATTCATACATGCAGACACATTCATACTCGCACGCAATCATACACAAACACTTCTACATACACACTCATACACACGCATACACACACACACTCATACACACTCACATACACCCTCACATGCCCACGCATATACACACAGACTCTCCCTCCCTCCGGGCCAGCGCTGCTGAGGCTATGGTCACATGTGACAAATACTGATGTAGACTGGGGAGAGTGAGTCAGGAACAAACTGGCATCAATTCCGGATTATCATCAGAAGCCGAGAGGCCAGAGGATTTTTTATAAAATGTACACAGTTGTTAGAATGTGGAATTCTTCACTGTAAAACTCTGTTGAAGCCAAGTTGTTTCTGCATTTAAAAGGGAATTAGATAGCAACTTGCGGACAAATAGTACAGCAGGGTAGCAGAGAACAGCCATGAATTCCAGCTGTTCTCACTTGGGAGGGCAGGAATCAAGGCCCATAATGGATGGAATACTTTGTGCCACATTAAGGAAATGCTCTAATGACTGACATTATATTTCTGTAATACACATACACCTCCACTGGATGGCTGTTGAGAGCTGAGCAATGGCCAGATATCTATAGTGATCAGAATCAGCTCTGTTGCTGATCACATAACGTCTGTTATTTGAGGTCTCTCTAACTGTGTGTATTTCTCTCTCTCTCTCGTTCACTCTGTGCCTCTCTAACTGTCCGTTTACGTGTCCCAATGCCTTAGGACGTCTTCCCGGGGTGAAAGGCGCTTTTCAAATGTAATCTTGTTGTTGTTTCTTTCTGTCTCTGCCAATCTATGTGTATGTGTGTATGTATGCGTGTGTGTCTCTCTCGAACTGTGTGGGTGTGTGACTCTCGCTGCTGGTTTATTAAGATTGTGATCCTGGAAACCTTCTGCGTCTGTGTGCAAATAACCAATTCCATATATTGTTGCCTGATGTGACTTCTGTAGAGGAGCTGCTCACTGCTGTTGGTCATATCTCCAACACATGGATATTTGACGTGCGGATTCTGTGACTGCACTTGTGATAAGCCCAACCCCCAGCATGTACTGGTGAATGCTTGTGGACCTCTCTGAGCTCAGTGATTCATTTAATCGTCTGGACTCATCTCTGTTGACATTTTGCCAGCGCTGTGGAATGAGTTTCAAAGGCACACAGTTTTACTCGCTCTTCAATGGCTAAATCCTGCATCTTTCCCCCCTATCTGCTCTGCAGGGATTCACGCGCGTGTTTGAGGCCATGCCGGATATTAGTCTGGACATCCCCAACTCTTACAGCATTCTCAAGACATTTGTGCATCGTTGTTACAAGGACGGAGTCATTACTAAAGCTCTCCAGGATCAGTGCCCTTCACGGTAAATTACCTGAATAACTATTGCTTGTGTTGAATGTCTGAAGATCAGAAGAATAACTCGCGACCTCTTCCCTTTTCAACCGTGACAGCTCCTCTGCTAACCCCACTTACCCTTTTTCCATTGGAGGGTGAGGGTAGCCATCTGACATGAGGACTTTAGGGGTTTGTGCACGAGGATGGGGGTGGACCAGGGAGTCGAGGGGGAGGGGTTGATTCTCCCTGTGCCTGTGAAGTTAGATTCAGCGCTAGTTTTAATTGAGCTTTGTTTCCCATTCCTAGGGACGTTAAGTCGGCTTTGAGCGGGGAGGAGGGTGGCAGCGTACTGCTGGCAGCCCAATGAGACCCAGAGAGAGACGGACACTTCACCATCCTGAAGGAGAGGGAACATTTCAGAATCCCTGGCATGAACGGTCGCTATTTTAACCGTTACATTGGCTGTATTTGGGTTACAGATTCATCACCTTGGATAAGGATGAATTTAAACAGGGGAGGGACATGCTACACGGCTCAGGGTTAATTGCCACAAACTAGGGTTGTTATTGTTATTTTGAAGACTTGCTTGTGGGGCTTAGCTCTCTTTAGGAGCAGCACTTGCTCCATCTTCTCGGTTGCTCAGCGCTCCCTGTCCCTGACCTGATGACCCTGTGGTAGGCTTGGGGCTCTGTCTAAACAGACGCTGCTACAGTGTGAAATGCTGCCGTTTAGACCGGTCCAACCAACCAAATCTTCAAAATCGCTTAAAAAAAATCATTCAAAGGAGTTTCTCATTCACAAGACGTCAGTCAATATATTAAACATTGCATAAGGAATGTGAGGTGAATATTGGTACATTTGTACTCGAATGTAATACGATATAGCAATGAAGTCTGGAATTGGAATTTGAGCCATTTGTTCTGTACTGTAGCTTTGTACGGCCTCTAATAAAGCTTTATGTTTTATGGTGTCTCCCATCTCTTGCATCTCAGTGCTGTGTGATGTGCACCATGAGGTGTGTCGCTGACTGCTGAAGATTGTCTAATCTTCTGTCTAATTGTCTGATTGCTGTCTGTGAGAGTGTGACCAACACATGTCTGTGCTGTGGTGGCTGATACTTTCACGGTGCACCGTTGACACTCAAACTCCAGAAAACCTCTGAACATCTTGTTTGTGATGATGATATTTCTCGGGTGAATGTGGGGAATATTGGTAAACAAAAGGGTGAAAAATGCAAGACCTCAGTCTGACTCAATCGGGAGTACTCTCAATGCAATCCAATGGATCGAAAGGCTGTGTTGTTGAGGACGAGATTGAAGTTGGCTCCCAGTGTCACAGGGACGACAGGGAGGAAGTGACAGATCAGATAGTTGAACCACCATGGCCTACATAATGATATTCTCTTCATCTCTAATGAATTATATTTTGTAAAGTTATTTGAGATATTTATCTTACATGAAAGAGTCTATAATAATAATAATCCTTGTATTTGATATAGCACTTCTCATGTCTTCTAGACATCTCAAGGCGCTTCACAGAATATTCTATCAAGCGAATTGACCTTATATTTGTGGCTGAAACCCAGCAGCCATTTGCACACAGCAGCGTCCTACAAACAGTCGTGGATTCAAGTGACCAATTTATTATTTTTTTTTCTCTTGAGGGATTATTAACAGACGTGTGAAGTACGGAAACTTTCCCAAGGTTTCACTCAGTCAGGAGTCGAACCCAGGTCCCTCGCTTGCGAGGTGAGTGCTCTAACCACTGAGCTGCAGGAGTCCTGTACAAATGCAAGTTACTTACCAATACTAATTTGGGCTTTGCTGCTCTGACCTGTTCTCTCCTATTCCTGTAGCTCTAATAAGACTGTCCTCAACACTGCCTGCCCTTTGAAATCAAAACTCAATCACACCATCTTTTCCTCTAACTCATCTTTTTTTACAAGGTTTTTGAGACTGCGGAGCTCCTTAGCCTCCTCAGTCATCATATCGTCTGACACTCCACAGACCTTTGCTGTGTGCAAAGTGGCAATCTGTGTGGTTTTAGCTGCTTAGACTCGAGCAGTAACCCCAACGCAAACTCTGAAGTCCCGAAGCCTTCTCTCTTGCCTTGCCAATCTATGCCTGTTACTCGAGGAGATTAGATAAGCAGGAAGCGTCACTCCAGGGATTGTGTGAATTCCATTCCAGAAATTTTGGTGTGTTAGTGGAACACATATGCGGAACGCTTATCTGCTAAGCTTGGTGATGAATTTCCACATTTTAGCAGGCACCCAGCTGACTGAACCATAGTGCAGTACACTTCCTTTTTCTTTTCAGGAAACTATGCTCATGTAAGGATTATTACTGGACACGTATGTGTGTCTGTGAGGTTGTATATCCTTTTGTTTCTGCATATTGCTTTGATTAATGTCTGTTCTGCTGGTGTTTCCAGTCTCCTGCACAAGTTTAACGGAGTGAAGATCTTACTGTCAGAGGAATTGGACACAAGGAAGGTACAATGCACTGAGCTGTTTGTTTTACAATGAAATGCAGTGTTTAATAATAAGAATCCTTTGCGTATAATATTGTTGGGATGTAAATGTTTTGCCTGCAAAGCATGCGGTCGGTTCACTTTGCAGTGCATTCTGTGAGGTGCCTTGAGACGTCTGGAAGATGTGGTGAGCGCTGTGTCAAAGGAAAGGCAAAAGCAATTTGAACAAACAGGGTATGAGGATCCAACAATAAATTGAGTAGAATTATTATCAGACAAGAACATTCAGTGTCTCCCGGCCAGCTCCCAGGACTGGCAAGTATATTTTTTATTTGTGTTGTCCTGTATTTCTGTAACTATCGCATTAAGTTTTCTCCTGAATAGTCATATCAGGACAAAATATAAACCCTTGGATGAGACATAGTCTGGTCTCATTGTAAATTACAGAGAATCCAACAATATAGTGCCTTATCGTTGTCATTGAGACGTCTCAAAGCGCTTCACAGAATATTCTGTAAAATGGATTGACTGTATATTTTGTGGGTGAAATGCGGCAGCTCATTGCGTACAGCAGTGTCCCACAAACATTCGTGGATTTAGTAACCAAATTATTACTATTATTTTATTTATTAATTTGAAGGAATTATTACCCATGGAAAGTGATCTGCCAATCGACCAACAACCGTATTGCTACTTCCTGCTCGGTAAACAGAAGTGTATGGAGTAAGGAAACTTGCATAAGGTTTTGCCCCACCTGGGAATCAAACCCAGGTCCTCTCGCTTGCTTGGTGTAAAGTGAGCATTAGTAATCCTGCTCTGGGGGTAAATAATAAAATAATACTCCTTACATTTAATATTACATTTTCATTTCTTAACGATGTCTTGAAGTACTTCACAGAATAGACTGTAAAGTGAAATGACTGTATAATGGTAAACAATAGTGCATTCAGATTGAATATATGTTTTGATGCTTAGTAATGTGATGTTTCCTCGTGGACTGCATAAACAGAGTGAATCGATTGTAAACCAAATCTGTTGCAAAACTGGTTATTTTTGAGAATCGTTACTTTGATAACAAACCACTATACAGAGGTTGCAAAGATTGCAAAGTTCCTTTGTGTGAAACAAACTATATCTGAATACAAGCTGTTGATGTTCTCCTAGCTGTGTGACCAAATTCATCAAAACGTTTCAATGGAATTCAGTGAAGTGAAAGCAGCACTGCCTACATACAGACTCCTGTGAGTTTCTGTTTTACTCAGAGAGTGGTAAATATGTGGAATGTCTGAGTCAGGGAGGCAGATTGTACAAGCAATTTCAGGAGGGAATTGGATATCTATTTGGTGAAGCAATCGATTAAGCAGTTTCAGAGATGAAGTGGTGTACAAATGATACCAATTTGCGTACAGCAATGACCTACAAATACCATGAAGGAATGACCAATTTTGTTTGGAGATTGTTGGCCAGGACACTGGGAGAAGTCAGGATAAGCCTCTCCAAATATCAACACTCTGTACCCACATCTCACCAGTTCTGGCCAGGCTCCACTGGCTCCCCATTTCCGAATGGATCGACTTCAATATTCTCACCCTCCTGTTCAAATCCTTTCACTACTTGGCACTGTGAGCCTATTACCCTCCTCATCGGCACTATTACCTTCACATCCAGAGTGGATCAAGTTCAAGATCCCAATTCTCACCTTCAACTCACTCCACAGTATTGCCCCACCCCACCTCTGTGACCTTTTTCAACCGTACCGATCCAGCCACTTCCTTTGCTCAGCAGGCACGGGCTTGCTTTGTGTCCCCTGCTCTATCTGCCCTATATTTGGTAGACTAGCTTTCAGATATTCTGCTCTTGCTGTCTGCAACTCCATCCCAGAGACCCTCTGACTTGCTCCCTCTCTCACCTCGTTCAAGTTCCATCTGAAATCCTTCCTCTTTTGCTCATCTCTCCCCTGTCCAACAAGAACAAATTCCTTTCTTTAGTGTCAGGAGGATGTCCTAAAATGCTGAACAGCTCAGTTGGCTCCCACCCCTAACTCACCTGTTCAACCAGCGGTGCCACGCACTTTGCCCTCCCAATGTGAAAGGTGCTGTATAAATGTAAATTGCATTGTATATTGAATGATAAACTCCATCTTCCATACTTTGCCCACTCTCTTAGTCTGTCTGTGTCTCTTTGCAATGTTTGCCTGTCTTGATGTAAGTTGATACAAGGATTTTCAGGGTGAATTGTTCTGCATTTTGTGCTGAATCCCCACCCTGTGCTGTGTTAGCTGATCGCTGGTGGGCAATAGCAGGAGCTCAACAACTGGCCTGAGTGTTCCTGGTTTAGGGAAAATCAGCCAGGATCCCTGCTCCTGATGGCTGTGCAGCAATGCCAACTGGATGTTAGATAGCAGAGTCAGCTATGGTGGCATCCTACAGTAAAAATAACCTGCTCACGTTCACTGTCAGGCTTCACATCTCAGAATCATAGAATCTTACAACACAGAAGGAGGCCATTCAGCCATTCATGCCTGTGACGGCTCTTTGGAAGAGCTACCCAATCATTCCCATTTCCCGCTCTTTCCCCACACCCCTGCAAAAAATTCCTTTTCTAGTCTTATTATCTTAAATCTATGTGTCCTGGTTACTGACCCACCAGCCAGTGGAAACCGTTTCTCCCTATCAATTCTATCATAAACCTCTATGAAAATACATGTGAATAATAATCACTTGGTTGTGAAGTCACAGAGAAATGGTGTACAATGAGAAGGAAGAGAATGGGGAAATGGGAGGAAATTAAAAATGTAATGTTTGCTTTATATTGAAAAATATAATCTTTTTAAAAAAAACAATATACACATCTTTCATCCCCATTGTACAAAACTGAAGTATTAATATTCTGATACCAAGTGTCTGCTTTGCGGCAGGAACTTTAGGCTTTACTTCCCTTTAACAATGTTGTGCATATTTCCTGTTACTAACAAGATTGTGCAGATTATTTGTTGTGGACACAACAAATAGCCAATTCTGTGAAATTCTGACTTGTGTTCCCAGAGTTTGAACATCTACTTTGTGGTTATTCCTCATGGAATTCCCCAATGAGGACTCATTTCGGTAATCTGATGTATATCAATGTGATTGACGAAGCATTTGTGAATTCTAATGGGATAATAATAATAATAATTATCCTTGTATTTGATATTGCGCACTATCACGTGTTTGAGATGTCTCAAAGCGCTTCACAGAATATGCTCTACTGACAAGTGAATTGACTGTATAATTTGTGGGCGATACCCAACAGCCAATTGCACACAGCATTATCCCACAAACAGTCGTGGATTGAACCACAAATTAACATATTTTTGAAGGATTATTACACCTGGAAAAGTGATCCGTCAATCGACTAACAACCGGATTCCTACTTACTGCTACACATACACATCTCTGATCCCCAATGTGCAAAACATGAAGTATCAATTTCTTAACACCAAATGGCTGCTTTGCGGCCGGAACTTTAGGGGTCACCTCCCTTTAACAAGGGTGTGCACATTTCCCTTCACTTTAATAAGATTGTGCAGATTATTTGTTGTGGACACAACCAATAGTTGAAATTCTGACTTTGAAACCCAGAATTTCAACATCAGTTTGTCACACACAAAGCACTGTGTGTTGTGCAATGAATCAGTCTTGAATGTCTCAAACTTTAACAGGGATGTTTTTGAAGCAATGTAATAATAATAAACCTTGCATTTGATATAGCTCTTTTCATGTCTTCTAGACGTCTCAAAGCGCTTCAAACAATATATGTGTAATGTGAATTGACTATATTTCTGTGGGCGAATAATAAGGTGTTCACCTCCTGAGTAGTTTTTACTTGGAAGTCAATTTTATATTGGAAACCAATAGACAATACAGTTTACATTTACAGAGTGCCTTTCAATTCTGGCTGGGCACCCGAGCTGGGGGTGGGAGCTGAAGAGGGTGGGAGCTGAAGAGGGTGGGAGGGGAAAGATGACTGAAAGCAGATGTCGACCTTGAGGCAGGTTTTGAATGTGGGCAGTTCAAGTATCTACACTAAGTACCTGCTCACATTGGCCCATCATCTATCAACCCGTCCTACCCTCTCTTTGTATTTTCTTCCTCTTTTCTTTTGAACAGCTTTCAGTATTTTTCAGTATTTTTTCCACCCCTTTCTCGTTGTTTGTTATGTTAATGACCTTGAATACTTCACTGTGTTTTCTGTGATCAAGCTTTCACATCAGCTGGTAATCATCCTGGTTACCCTACTCAGGAACTTGTTACCCGTAGACCCAGTAAATAATAATAATCCTTGCATTTGATATTGCGCCTTATCACGACATTGAGACTAAAGTCCCGGATTTGAAGGCGGTTTCACTCAGCGATTGCTCGTGCCCTGCTCCCGGTAGCTGGCGTGGCAGAGCGAGGGCTCGGCTCTGGGAAAGTTGGGAGAAATCCCGGGCGGGAGGTGAAAGGGAGAAATCAGAAGAAGCAACAGGGGCTGGTGGCAGGACCACCTATCTGTAGGATAATCCAGTGAGAGTGCGGGGTGGGTTGTTGGACAGGTGGTTAGCTGAAAGGAAAAGCGTGGTCGCTGTGGCGAGTCCCTCACTGTGCTGAGTCCACAAACTGTGCTGATCTCTGCTGAGTGGTAGCAGGAGCTCTGCAACTGGCCTGAGTGTTCCTGATTTAGGGATGGGAAAATCAGCTGGGATCCACTAGGCTCCAGTTTGTGGTTGTTCCTCATGGAATTTCCCAATAAGGACTCATTTCGGTAACTTGAAGTATATCAATGTGATCCACAGGAAACAAACCCCAACCCAATTTACTTCTAAGGAAGCACTTGTCAATTCCAATGGGATAATCATAATATTAATATTATATCCTTAAATTTGATATGGGGTCTAATCACGTCTTCATACAATATACGGTAAACTAAATTGACTGTCGTGAATTGACTGACCAAATTATTTTTTTAATGTATTATTACCCCCAGAAAAGTCATCCGCCAATCAACTAGCAACCGGGTTCCTACTTACTGCACGGTAAACAGAGACTTGTGGAATATGGAAACTTGCCCAACATTTTGCCCTGCCAGGAATCGCACCCACATCTCTTGCTTGTGAGAGAAGTGCTCCAACCACTGAGCTGCAGGACCCAAACGTCTAATGCTTAAATTAAACTTCCGGTGGTGACAAGACCAGAATGGTCACAAGGGTGAGATATCACCAGAGGGAAGCTAACTTTGAAATTAACAATTTTTTTCATCAGTTGAGTGTTTGACAAATGTAGAAACCCTTCACCATAGTTATTAAGAGTATTCAAACCAGACTGCAAGTTCCTTTGCATGTTGTGTACACGTGGAAATTCCCCTGTGAAACGACATACCCCAAAAGTATCTCCGTCCTTACCTAAATCTGAAGAGTTTTAGGAGCAGAATGGAAAGAGACAAGGCTTTGGGACTCTAGAGCGTGCACAAGGATACGTTTAGAGTTCAACCAGCTGAATCTGTATTACCACTTAGGGTGAGAGAGCATGAGAAAATGGGGAAAATAATTTCAATCACTCCCTCCACACACAATTTATTATAATCCTGAGCTGAGTTAATGTGCGAGAAGACTATGAATGTCTGGTGTCTCAGCCCACAGATGTAGGAGATTACAGAGTTGTTCGTGTGAATGTGTGGTGTGTGTGGTGTGTGTATGTGTGGTGTGTGTGGTGTGTGTATGTGTGTGGTGTGTGTTGTGTTGTGTGTGTGTGTGTGTGTGTGGACAGTGGTTCGTTGTCGATGGCTCATTGTGCAGGTATCAATGTGTCTGATTGTTCTCTGCTCCTCTCTCCACGTTCTCTCCAGGCTGTGATCCACACAATGAGTGTCTGTCACTGCATGCTGGCACTGCTGCTCGCGTGTCTCATCCAGGGTAAGGCTGTTTCACCCTTTACCACCATTAACCCATGTTGTTTAGATAGATTTTTAAACATAACTATTAACGTTCTGTTTCCATTTCCAAGCAAATCCTCGAGACCGTCCGTCCACTCTCCACAAGTCAGACACTTGCAGAATATCTGATCCATCATTATGCTGAAGAGTATCCAAATCAAATTGAATTTCCATGCACCCCACCTACATGTGGAAATCCCAGAGATAGATTGTTGGAATGGAATGCATACTATCTATCATACATATCATACATCTTCATTACATCGAGGCTCGACTACGCAAACTCGCTGCTTGTCAGCCTCCCCAACTCCTCCCTCCACAGGCTGCAGCTCATCCAGAACTCTGCAGCCCGTGTCCTCTCCCGCACTAGGCTCCACGACCCTATCACGCCCATCCTTGCCCAACTCCACTTGCTTCCCATGACACAGAGGATACAGTTCAAGATCCTGGTCCTTACCTTCAAAGCCCTCCCTCGCCACCTTCAAAACTCACCTCAAGACCCTCCTCTATCAATCTCCCTGCTCCCCCCACTGCCCTTCCTCACCTCGACCCTCAGTCGGGTACGTAACTCTGTCTGTCCAGCTCCTTGGGATGTGAAGGGCGCTATACAAATGTAATTTTGTCGTTGTCGTTATCTCTCTGCAGGGATGCATCCTGCTTACCTAATTCTAGAAGGTTTTAGTTGCAGGTTGGCAAGAGCCAAGGCTTGGGGACCCCAGAATGTGCACTGAGATACTGCTGCAGTCTCAGCAGCTAAAACCACAAAGTTTCTCATTGATATCGTTGTCTGGCCAGGGCCACCCTACCCGTTAACATTATGTTGGCAAACATGTCAACTTGGAGCAAGTTCAGCTCCAAAAAGACACTGTTTACCTTCCCCACAAGGAGAATAATCACTAATTGGTCGTTCGACATCCGACAAGAGTGGGTTTTTGCCATCACTGGGTGGATGGTAGGTACCAGGAACTCCCTGTGAGCTTCCCTGTGGGCCACACATCACAGCTGGACAATTGTAGTGGACACTAGGATCTCAGGAGGAAACTGGGGAGGGAACCTGAGCTTTTTTAAAGAGGTGATGAACCCCCCCCCATCCCTCTGACTGGGGCTGGACTGACTCCATGGTTTGATGGTTAGAGCCGGTGGGGGAGGGGGTATTATAAGAGGGGTGTCAGGTTCTGCCCATGTGCCCAAGTGTCTGCACACCTCAGCAAATGTTGTGTTGCTGTTCCAGATTCTTCCTCCCCCCACCACCCCCCCTGATTAAAGCTGTGTTATAGTGAGAATCTACATGAGCGGCTGTTTCTGCCTGACTGGGGGGTGGTGGGGGGGAGGTTTGCACTACAATATTAAGTTGAGGGTCTCACAGGCTAAGATGGGGTGGAATGTCAGGCTTCTGACATCTTAAATACATTTAGTGTAAGTATACATATTACATGTGTTAGACGAGGACATTAATGTTTCCCAATCTTCCCAATGAAGGGGACGGGGCAGAGAGACCCCACTGACAGGTATTCCCCAGTCAACCAGTACCAGAGTCACACACAGTAAGTCAGTCAGTCTGATTTCTCACCCACAGGTTCTGCCCATCAATGGAGTGTTACGCTTCCCAAGTCCACTTCTGGGCTGGAGGGAGAGTCTGTAATTCTGGATTGTTTTTTCAGTCACCCTGACCCACCGAATAAACCATATACTATATGGGGCCAATGGTTCAAAGGTAATCCATGCAATGATAGAGCAGAGAAGATATATGAAAGCAACGAAAGCAACAACAGAATAAAATTAACAGGAAACCTGACAAAGAAAAACTGCTCAATTGAGATAAGTGACCTCAGGAAAACTGATACTGGTCATTACTGCTTCAGGTTTGAAATAATGAATTTCGTTATATGGACCGGAAAACCATCCATCAGTGTCGATGTATACGGTAAATATTCCTTCTCTCTTCTTGTTACCTATTTGAAAAAACAGCAAACTGACAAGTTTGCAGTATTTACCGTTGTCGATTTGATGAGGTGACATTTCAGAACATTGTTTATTTCTCTTTCCTTTTGTCAGATCGTCCTGGCAACCCCACTGTTTTCCCAAGTGAAGTGGCTGAAGGGATCAGCACCACTTTAACGTGTACTTCGTCTAACGTTGTAACACAGGTCAAACCCAAGCTGACCTGGGAAGGAATCACTGAGCTGACAGATCAGAAGACCGTGAACAAGAAGAAACAGTCTTTATCTGACCGGATAATCACCAGTTCATTCACTTTTATTCCCTCATACCAACATCATCTCAAGCTGATCAAATGTGTGGTCAGTTGTGCCAAATACCAATGCTCGAAACAAAGCAACATAACGCTTCAGGTCAAATGTAAGTTCCCCATACTGAAGCAGCATTCAAATGATCCTAAACTGCACAGAAAGTTGTCAAGAGCTTTTGTACTGGTTCCATTCTACCACCCGACCTGTCTTTGCCCAATTGCCTATATTGGCTCCACACCCTCAGGGATACAGGGCAGCAACATTTTGCTTTCAAGTCCCTTCTGATAACTCAACTCTCTGAAGCTGGAGGGACTGAACTTGCCCAGGGGGAAGCTGAAAGTGATATAGGAGCGTTATTCACTGCCAAATCAGTGTAAGGCAGCAATAAACAAGGCCAACAGGATGTTGGGCTTCATTACAAAATCAGTTGAGATCCTCAGAAGTTTACTGAGGCTGAATAGGCTCTGGTCAGGCCGCTCATTGAATACTGTGTAGAGTTCTTGTCAACGCGACAGAACTGTCTGGGCCTTAGAGACAGAGCAGAGGTGAGCAATGAGCTTGATTCCCAAGCGATAGAGGAATGAGCTATTAGACAAGCTGTGGTTCTTCAGTCTTGAGGGAAAGCGAATCAGAGACTACATATTTTTCAATGGATTGAGAAAGTAAACCCAGATCAATATTTTAGAATGTATCAAGACAATAAAACAAGAGGATTTAGGATTATAAAAGGGACATGACAGGAGACATACCAGGAAGATTTTCTTCACGCAGAGAATAATCAATGACAGGAAAGGTGGTAGAGGCCAGGATACGGGACTCTTTTAAAAAGCTACTTGATGCAGTGATGAGGAGAATGGTAGGGTGAGGGTTCTGGAAGAATCAGATCAGATGGGCCAAACAACCTGTATCGTCCACACCAATCATGTGAGATCAAATCATTTCTCTCTCTTGAACTAACTCTGGGCCTAAGCAATCCCCTAATATAATGTCACCCCCAACAGTGTCTGTACCAAGACAGGTGTGTTAAAGGAATTTCTATCATGGAACAAAGTATTTGATTTGATGTTTGTCTTGCTAATGGGTAGGTTATGTAGGTCATGGGGGCCTCAAAATTAGGCTACCCAATAAGTAAAATGTTCATTTTTAGACAGGGAGAACACAGATTTTATCCAACTTGTGCGTGTTTTTATATAACAAAAACAAGTTTGAAACCATTTTCGGGATTCCAAAATGTTGACGTGCAGATTTCAAAATGCAATCAAAGATGGTGATGATTTTGTCTGAAAAAGGAGCCCATTTTCTTTGAGGGATGTGCTGCCATTTGATGGTCATTTTCACTAAGGCAAGTTAGCCTTAAACCCAAACTTATATAAAATCCTAAACTTTATCCCGAAGTCTCAAAACTTCCAACCAGCAATAGATTAACTCAAAGAGAATGAACAGGTGAAAGGAAACATATTAAAAACTACTTCCTGGAGGTATTTTCTATGGAGAACACCAAAATATGCAGCAAACTTTGCATGAACTTTGTTTGGCTGCAAATTACCTTCCTGCCCAGTAGAGGAGCAGCACTTCCTCCCTCCCATTGCCGTTCCCATTGGAAGGGAAGGGAAGGCAATCAATTAACCGACATATTTAATGCAGATAAGTGTACAAATGAATCGGGACCAAGAGTTTTTTTAAATTTTCCCATTGTTTGGGGTTAACCGGCTGCCGACTGCCATCAATCGCAATTTCCCTCCCTTATCCTTCCCCATTCCTCCACCTCCTCACTGATCGACAGCCCAACTCCAGCCGCTGGTGAATGGCTGGAGTTCACTGATAACCTCCAGTGTTGGAGGATTGAACTATGAACAATGAATAGGTTAAATTAAGGCTCTTCAGTCCTGAGAAAAAATACCTCATAGAGGACTTTAAACAGGTGTATCAAATGTTAAATCAGATTGAAAAAGTAAAGCCCAAACAATACTTTTGGATTAACCAAATCGTAGAATATAGAAAATAATAATCCTTGCATTTGATATAGAGCCTCAGCACGTTGTTGAGACGTTTCAAAGAGCTTCACAGAACATATACTGTAAAGTGGATTGACTGTATTTCGTGGCCGAATAGCGGCAGCCAATTGCGTACAGGAGTGTCCCACAAAAGGTCGTGGATTGAGTGGCCAAATTATTATTATTTTCCAAAGAAATTATTACTCCTGGAAAGAACAATAGGATTGAGGTTTTGCATTATGAAGGGCAATTGCAACGTGATTGTCAGAATTTGTCTGGGAGTGTTCATAATCACTGCTCCCTTTACCTTATGCCTTCAGGAGATGAGCTCCTCCATGTGTCTCCGCATCTCTATCACAAGCCTGCAAGCTCTGGGTTGTTACTGGAGCTGCGATATACTCGTGGAGGATTGAGGTAGAGAAGGGAGTGAGATTGGGATTGTGACCTTGACACAGTGTCATTGACGAGCTCCTCCCTAGATTATACAGTACTGATTTACAATTCTCTCCCATTTCAGATCCCCCCCGAAATACAACAATTCAAATAAATGAACCTCTGGATATCATTGAGGGGAGAGAAAATGTGACGCTGACGTACAGCACTGACAGCTACCCTCAAGCTACTCACACCTGGTACAAGACAAAAAGACACACAAACACAACACAAACTCTGAACAGTACAGGCAGCGTCTTGTTGAAATCAATATCCAGTGTGGTAAATAATTCACAGGGAAATGACACCTCTGCAGCTGACATCAATGTCAAGTGTGAGTATTTGGCTTTAACGGCTCCTGAGTGGATTATACCACGTTAGAGTGAGAGCTCTTCTCGCTCTTGATGTATACAGTGGGAGACGGTTCAGTCAGACATATCGGGGATGGCCGTTTTGTCCGGCCTAAGAGGCGTCCGAGATTAACCAAAATACAATCTTAATTAACCAAACAGGACATCAATTATTTAAATCTGGGAGTTTATGTTACAATCCTGGACTCTCACAGAACTCAGTGAATTATATTAACTTTGTTTGGCTGCAAATTACCTTCCTGCCCAGCAGAGGAGCAGCACTTCCTCCCTCCCATTTCCGTTCCCATTGGAAGGGATGGGATGGCGATCAATTAACTGACATATTTAATGCAGGTAAGTGTACAAATGAATCGGGGCCAAGAGTTTTTTTCAATTTTTCCCTTGTTTGGGGTTAACCGGCAGTTAAGCAGATTTCTGGTCTAAGGAGACGAGGGAAAAGGCTGAAAATCAGCGGAAGAGGGAAAAATGTGATTTGAATGTTTGTTATTTTCCCCTTACAGATGGACCCAGTGAAATTAACATAAGTCAAAATGGGCTGAATTACAAGTGTGTCACACACGCCAACCCTCCAGCAACCATCATTTGGAATCTAACTGACTCCATAACTTCCCAAATCCATAAAAATAAGTCTACGAACAGCCTGGAAATTAAAGATTAGAAATCTTTTGTGTTTCATGTCGAGCTGAGAATTCATATGGTCGTGTGTATTCAAGGGAAAGTTGCTCAAAGTCAAAACAGAGAAGTAACTGAGTTATTTATTAATCAGTTTAATTGGAGGTCAGCAAAAATTGTGTAGGTCATTCAGTGGCATAGTTAAGGTAGGCTCACCTTGAGGATCTGAAAGAATTGTGACAACATACCTCACTATATTTTAGTTTCACTGCTGTCTAATTTCTAATAGGATTCCATATTAAGAAATCCTGTTAGAATTTTCAATGACCAGTGAAAACCACTCTGGAAATGGATCCAAATGGAGTTCCCATGAGTTTCTGTTCCTTATTTCCAATTACTGAAAGGTATCTTCATTTACAAACCTGAGGTTCTCTACAAACAATTTCTGTTAAGAAATCTGCAAATTGGATCTGTACATCATACTGAATTTAACTGGTCATGGGCTATATCAATAGATCACTATCGTTTGCTAACCTGCTCAAAATGAAGACTTGTCTACAGTTATCATTCCCAGTGAATTCTTCAGTCTAATGTTTCTAAAATTCTCCCTCCCCCAACTCAGTACGCATCCTTACTCTTTGTCTCCAGGTGTCATCTTGGTTGAATTGTTAGCCATCTTGTCCCTGGATTCCATATTGTTATTCAAGTTCACATTTCTTGTCAAATCTAGTAATTGCTTTTATAGGCAAACGCAGTGGCCATTTTGTGCCTATCAAGTTCCCATCAGGTGCCCATGTGGTGAACAATCAATTTATTTGGAAGATTATTGGAGTGACACTTCCTTCTCCCTTCTAATAGTGCATATCCCATTCCAGATACCAGGAAATGTCCATGTGTAGGAGGCATACATATGCAGGTCTCTCATTTGGGTCAGATACTAAACATGGATATGGGTTTCCACATATGTCAGACACCGGGACGATCAGAAATAATTCCTGTGCACTTTGTGCAACAAGTACCATTGATGACAGTTCCCAAAAGAAATGACATCAGTGGCACTTCTTGTGCCTCACATGGAAAGTGCATAATTAGTGACCTGATAGAGGTCACTGTCACTGTTGGAGGATTGTGTTAATACAGTGTTGTCTCATATTAATCTGTAAATACATAATAATAATAATCCTTAGAATCTTATTGCTAAACAGCTTTGATATAATTGCGTTGATCAGAACTATTTGAATCTTTATGTTGGCAGGTTGGTCAGCAATATGGCTATTAATATATATTGGAGTCGGAGTTATTGTCGTCTTCATCCTTCTCTTGACTGTGGTGCTAGTGTGCTGCATAAAACAACTAAACCAAGGTAAGTCCTCTTCTGTGTCAATGTTACAGATCCCAGTGCAATATCTGATGAAACCCATACATACCCAGACTGCACTTCAATTCTGCTCAACCAAGGTGGCAGCTTGGATTAGTTGGTTACGTTATAAAATTCTGAGTTCAACCCCATATTGAGACAGTATTAATTCCACTTATTATTATTATTATTATTATTATCTGAAAGCAGTTTAGAGTAAATAACTGACTGATGTTTGAAGTGTCCAGTGTTGATAACTCTGTTAATATGTTTGTCTGTTATCAATGAATGATTGATAAATCTACTGCACTGTCTTGGTCTCCCCCACCCAACCCAGAAAACAGGGTCTGTGCTTTGTATGGGCACTACTGTTCACAATTGGCTGCCGCGATTCGCCCACAAAATATAGTCAATTCACTTTACAGTATATTCTGTGAGGTGCTTTGAGACGGCTCATAAACATGATAAGGCGCTATATCAAAAAATGCAAGAATTATTATTATAAATAATAATCCTTATATTTGGAATAGAGTTTCATGACATTATATAACAGATATTGACAATATGGACACAGTTCCCAGTAACTATAGTAAGATAGAGTAAAATGCATAACCATCCAAATTAACTACAATGGTGTTTTACAATGGCGGAGTCCTGTAGCCTTGCAAGCGAGAGACCTGGTTTTGATTCCAGGCAGGGCGAAACCTTGGGTAAATTTCCTTACTCCACACGCCTGATAATAATCCCTCAAAAAAACCAATAATAAATTGGTCATTTCAATCCACGACTGTTTGTGGGACACTGCTGTGCGCAATTGGCTGCCTGCGTTTCGCCCACAAAAATACAGTCAATTCACTTTACAGTCTATTCTGTGAAGTGCTTTGAGATGTCGAGAAGATGTGAAAAGCACTATATCAAATGCAAGGATTATGATTTATATTATTGCTGCACATTGCTTTTATTCTGGTGCATCATCAATCTTAATTGGGACGTCCTCCCGACGTGAAAGGCGCTCAATAAATGGAATCTTGTTGTTGTTGTTGTTGTTGTTGTTAATCTAAAAGTACCAATCATCTTCTTTTGTATTCCATCAGAGAAACAGATGAAAAATGATTCCAAAGCCACGGTGATCCATGAATTTCCAAATTCCATTCAGGTTTGTGAAGATGTTACTCATTTTAATTGTTATTTCAATTGAGGTGTTTTTTCTCTCTCAGTGGCTCATAGTGAAATGCAATGTTTGGTGTATCACTGAGCCTTTACAACCTTTTCCTGTTTTTCTTTGCGGTCTGTACAGCCATGTTTACTGGTAGTACTAAATTGGGTTGATTGGTAAACTGTGAGAACAACTGTACAAGACTGCAATAAGATATTGATAGACTATAGGAAAGGACAAGCACCTTTCGCAACAGAAAGATGTCTCAAAATCCTTCACACAACTGACAGAATCAAAGCTTGGGGTGGGGGTTGACGAAATGAGAGGAAAGGTGACTGAAAATAAGGTCAAAGGGATAGCACTTCAGGAACATTTGAAGGCACAGAGGGAGTGGGAAAGGTAGAGGGACTCTGGATTGGAATTTCAGAGAGTTGGGGCAATGCTAAAGGCTCAACCACTCATAGTGGGAATAAGATTCTTGATTCAATAGGATATCTGAAGCCAGTGGAGCCATGTGAGGCTGGGGGTGATGCGCTCACAGTGCCTGTTACAGGGAGGACCTGCACTACAGAGTTCTTGATATCAGTAGCTTGAGTACAGAAGATCTGGGGAATAATCAAGCCTGGAGCAGGAGAAGGCATGAATGAGGGCTGAAGCAGTGGGGAAGTGAAATAAGTTTAAGAAGTGAAAGCCAGATGTAAAGTTTGAAGAATAGTTGAAGATCAAACAACACAATACAAAACACTAAGGTTCCTCACCAGCTCGGTGATGTGAAATGAGCAACCAGCAGATTGATGCAAACAGCACTTGAGGTGTTTTTTAAAATGAGTCCCATGTCCTGGCCTCAACCATGTCCTGCCCTGCAAACCTGTTCCAGTCATCAATTAACCTCTGGGTAAAGAAAAACTTCCGCTATCTGAACAGAAATTGCCCTTTGCAAATGTAAACCTGTCGTCTCTTTTTCTAATGTCTTGGTGCATCCTTAAGGAAGAGGTGCAAACACAGTGCTTTGGGACATCCTCCCGATGTGAAAGGCGCTCTATAAATGTAATTTTGTTGTTGTTGTTGTTATATACAGTGGAAACCAGTTAAGCCGGACACATCGGGATTGGGCGTTTTGTCCGTCCTAAGTGTTGCCTGAAGTTAACCGAATTACCTTTACCTCTTCCTGTCCAGCAGAGGAGTGATGGCGGCACCTCCTCCCTCCTCCTGTTCCCAATCAATGGGAAGGACCAATTAGCGTCAGCTTCGAGGTGATTGACAGCCTTGGAGTCGCTTGTGAATGGATGAGCGCTCCAGCCATTTTATAAGCGGCTTCAGCTGTCAATCAATCGTGATTTGACTCCTCCCATTCCCTCGCTTGTTTCTTCCCCGTTCCTCCACCCCCTCACTGATTGACAGCCCAACTCCAGTCACTTGTGAATGGCTGGAGTCCGCTGTCAATCAATCGCAATTTGACTCCTCCCATCTGTATCCTGGAGCCTCTCGTGGCTGAATGAAGCCGCTCGAGACACAGAAGGCGCGAGTGAGTACATTCAGCAACGACAAGCGCTGCATTTTGTCCGGATTAACTGGATTGTTTTACGAATTAACCGGCATATTTAAATCGGGTAAGAATACAAATGAATCGGGGACTGGTGTTTGCCCAATTTACCCGATGTCCGGGATTAACTGACGTCTGATTAAAGCGGATTCCACTCTATTACTAAAAGTGGGGTGGCAGGCTCAGAAAGCTATCAAGAAGCCAAATGGGATTCTGAGTAAAACATTGTAGGTAAATTATGTTGTAACCGTATAGGACTTTGGTTAGTTAGAAGCGAGTGAGAATACGGGCGGCAGAGTTCTGAATCAGTTGTAGTTCGTGGGTATTGGAGCTGGGGAGACCAATGAGGAGGGCATTGGAACAGTCGAGGGGGAGGTGCCGAATGCGTAGACGAGGGTTTCGGCTTTGTTGGGGCTGACATATGTCGGAGGAAGGCAATGTGATTGGGGTGGAGGAAAGTGGTTCTGATTTGGGACCAGATGTGGGGTGGAAGGACATCTGGGGGTCGAAACTGATGCCCAGGTAATGTACATGTTCGGTAAATCTTAAGGAAAGGCCGGTAGTTTGAGGAGGTCAGAGCCGCAGGAGTGAAGATGTTGGCGGAAGCGAAGGTGTACGGCTTCCATCTTGTTGACGTTCAGTTGGATAGTATCCTTAAATAGTCCCCCTTGTCAAGCAAGTAATTCATTTTCAAAATAATTTTGAATTTACAACAGTAGTTTGTGGTGGAGAGTTGTGTATTCTGACCATCCTGTGTGTAAAGAAATCTATTTTATCCTCCCCTTCAATAACCATTTTTACTTCACAAGTACATAAATTCCAACAATCACTCTATTATGATTAACCAGCCTAAACAAATGCGTAGAGGTGCTGAGCCGGAGGAGGAGTGCATGCAGCCGGAAGTGAACACATCTCAGAAAGCTGACAAGAGGGATTCTGAAGCCAGTTTGGTGTACGCTTCCATATATTTTACTAAACAGCCGGAGGCAC